AATCGTATAACTCAACAAAACATATTGATACGTCGTCTTGGTAGATTTTTTCAGATAATAAAACTCATGCTGCAGCAATCCCGAACCCAGTCGTAAAACCTGCATACTTTTAATCTTCTTACTTAGCCCCATTTTCCTCGATTTAGCCACTAATTGAAGACAACCCTCCCACTTGGTGTGAATCACCCTGTCCGATTCAAAGACTGAAATTACCATTGGTAGCAATAGCCTAATTATACCTGCAATTATTAAACTTCCCCCGGGAAAGAAGAGATATAGCGGCATTGGGATAACGTGCCACATTTTTAGCGTCACATAATTAAATGCGATGCTTAACACTAACCCGGCAAACATTATAAGGGCCGCCGCTGTTAAGTGAGGGTCATGCGTGGCTTGTAAAACTATTTGTAGAGTGTCATGACACAAAAATGTGGACTTCGCGATCCGTTCAGTAACCCAAATCCAGGTAGCCGATTTGTCCAGATTTTTGATTATGGAGAGAACCAGATACGTTGCCATGGTCATGGTGGTAAAGCATATCGTCATGAAGCGGCATATTTGAAAGCACGTCAAGATAAAGAGAAATCTGAGATAATTAACACATTTGCCGATGCCATAGTGATTTAGAATATATTTTTCGAGTTGGCAGAGAGGATCCATCCGGGTATAGAGGAAGAACCCGGGGAAGATGTAGGGGTAAAGGGTAAAAGCTGTGACAACTACGTTTAACGATATTCCTTAAATGTCCGGGTTTTTATCCTGGATCGATAATTTTGTACCATCTACTGCAAAGAGACAAATGCTAGTTTTACTTTTTAGAAAATTTGTAAAAATGTGATTTTATAGATTTACTGTAACGTATGACTCATTGCCATAATGGTCAAAACCAGCACATTTATAACAATTTCTCGGATCTGGGAATTTATGTTAAAATTTTGGAAGACCAGAGCAAGTCGTTGACATTTTTTTGAAAATATACATTCCAACTTTTGGCAGTTTTCGAAAGAGGAGATATCAAGCGTAAGAAGAAGCATTTAGAAAAATTAGAACTCACGGACAAACTGACTTTAAACTTAAACACTCATGGCCATTTTAGTTAAAAACTTACTGCCTACAAATTTCCCGTCCATAATTTTAAAATGACCTCCTAGAGCCGAGAAATAACTAGAAACGTGTTGATATTAACGATTCTGGTGAAGAGTCATCAAGTTTAAGGTTCATTTCATACTTGAAATTATTCGGTCGTTCAATTGGTTTAAAGTCTCAAAAAAAGGAGCCATTTCTCCTCCCATGAAAAATGCAAGAAGGTCACCCAAGCAACATAGCCCACTCGTCGCTAGAAATATTGCTACCACAGCGAACTTGGTCAACGGAATAGCGAAAAATCCGTGCACCTGGGCAATCACCAAAATTGCACAGGGGACAAAGACAACGGTGAAAAGTAATGTTACGGATATCGCCCAAGGGACAAGTTTAACCGACATAGGATTTTTCCTGTATATTTTCTTTACAGGATCAAACTCGATGGGATACGTCGCCATGAATTGAAACTGATTTTGTGTTCTTTCTAAGGCACGCCACATTAACGGTGTGATACTCATTGTAGTGACAAAATTTACGACATGAAACAAAATTTTTTATTTTTTTACAAGTCGAACAAGGTCTCCAAATACAGAATGACTTGTGAAATGGAAAATATTTTAGGTGTAATTTCAACAAAACTTTGAGCGTATATATTTATATTAATATGTTTAATATAACAACGATAATCTGCAGAATATGTAAATATGTAGCATTTTATGGATTCCAAGTTATGCTGATCTATTATTACTTAAATACGTGTATGTCTCCTAAACCCCAGCAATTTCCCTTGAATAAATTGGAAAACGAATTATGGGCGGTATTTCGTTTCTGCTTAAAATCAGAAATGCTTGCATAAATTTGTGTAGTTTGGGTTTCTACTAATGACATACTACCGTTAAAAATGGGTTTTTGAGTAGGAGAATTTTTTCATAGACATGTGTATGTACATATGCAAAAAAGGATAGTATGTAAAACCATATGTAAAAGGCAGTATGTAATTATAATCCGGATAATTACGCTTATACGTATGTGGACTTCATATACATGCAAATCAAAATCATAATAATTGCATACACGAGTCGCATCAAAAGCCTAATATGTTTTTGAGTATGATACATATTTACTTGAATATCGTTTTACTTTATACACATGTAAATAAATACGTATAAATAAAATTAGAACAAATGCATTTAATTTCAAGGATTAGGATTTAGAGATGCCCGCAATGCTTTACTATTCCACACTCAATTCGAGAATTATGGACGCTGCGTTTAACATGAGCAGCACTTTGTGGCCAGCCATATATAAGATCTATACGTATGTATGTATGTAAGAAATTTAATGTAAGCAATATTTAAATAGTTGGAAAACGCTCATTTTTCGCTTTCATGATAACGACCGTGTGAAAACGCTCAACTACGCCAAAAGGCACAAATACCGCTTGAAAACTATACGTCTTCGCGAACTTGAGGTGCCTATTTAAAATAAAATTTGCCCAATTTTTCAGCACCTACGCATATGATGTCCAAAGAGTTGCTCGATGAAACTGGCCCTAAGTTGGTAAAAAATTATCTGGGTTGAATATGGTCTGCGTCCCCATTGTAAGTAAATATGTACATAAATACTTAAAAGTTCAATATTTCTGTCCATGTCGAATACAATTTTAAAACGTGATGATAGATAACGTGATGACGGCTGATGGAAATCAGTTCACATTTAAGCAAATAGTTCTGTAGGTATGTACATTTTCATTAAATGAAAATATATTGCCTAGAGTAAATTACAGGGGTAAAATTTTACAGGGTAGAAGCGCCTATCCGTATACAATTAGATATATGTAAATATGCATGTATATATGTACTTTGCAATTTCTGAAAACACTAGTTTCAAAGTAATACGCGTACATATTTATGTACATCTGTACGCGTCGAGCTACATGCATAACATACTCAATTGTGTACCTATTTATCCTAAATGTCCCCGTTTAGTACTAACTTACATTGAAAAAGGCAACTACATACAAATCTATTATAGATAGTTTAAACCCTCCCCCTGAATTTAGGAAGTACGAAACCCAATAAAATTCACAAATTACATACTATTATTATTACAAAACAAAAATATACCTAGAAACATATTTACGTACCTAAACATCTGATTTTTCTGAACGTTCCAGTCTATAGAATTTGCAGCTTAAAAAACAACCCATAACGGTGTCGGTAAGCGTAATTTCTTATACAACAGTTAGGATTGAGACGCCATTTTTTTAAATTAATTACAATTAATTGAAAAACTTCCTGCAAATAAACCTTCAAGTACGTATCTACACACATTCTTAAGCAAAAACTGAATTCACTTGTATGTAATACATTCGTACACTTCACACTAAAAAATTGAGTAAAACAACATGATTAGTGACGAAACGTTAAAACTTCTCGTCCGCCTGATCAATTTGTGTCGCTCATCGGGTGCAATTCCTTACTCGTGGGACGCCAAGAATCACCGCTTTTACTTTACGAATCAATCTCTGCGGAAAACTCGGCGGTGGTTGGGGGCGCAATTATTAATTCTGCTGTATGTCGTCGTGCGGACAATTTTTGTCAAATTTCAATCGCACGATAACAATTTTGCTTCGTTTAACTTTTGCTTATCGATAGTTTTCGCGCTAATGCTGCAGTCATTGGTACGAGCGCCACCTGCTTTTTTTCCTAAAAAGTTTGTATGTCTTATAAATTCCGGGTTGCGTTTCACTCAAGGCTACCAGGGTAAGTTTGTTAAACACATACAATGTTAACCCATAGATGAATTTTTGCACTTGTTATGAAATTCTGCATAGCACACTGAATTGTATACACTCTTAGAAAACTGGTAAAAGTCAATACTGACCAGAGTACATGTACATATTTACGTAAGTATATGACTCTAACAGCACGGTAATTACGGGAACTATTAATCCGGTAGAAAGTTATTACCAAATCAATACCAGCCCGGAGTACATATGTGACTCTACCGGATGCTTTACAGTGTACCAGAATTTGAAAATGTTCACCCTAATATTTCAATATTTTTCAGCTAATTGGTACCCCAATCTGGACCTGTCCACCTCTAAATGGAACATTTTCACCATATTCTTCTTCAAAACGTGCTCCGTTTCAACATTTTTAGGATTCCTGTCCACCACCTGGCTCTATTTCGTTTTTCCCAACATGCCCCCCTTTCCCGGTGACCTGTTCCCCCCGCAAAATTATTACTATTATCTCTGCTACCTTGTGGTCGGTCTGTTCTACCCGTGCTATCTTTTCATGGTCTGGTCCACCCTACTTTTCGGCGCCTGCATTACGCTCGTGTTCATTGCTGGTCTAATCCCCATTTTGACCTGCGACTTTCGCGGTGATCGGGCACCTCCGACGGGTCAAAACATTGAAGAATTACGTCACGTGGAGAATTTTACCCGTTTTTACCGCCAGGTGGAGCTCATTCATAAATTATTTCTGGAAAATTATGCGATAATTTTAATCCCGATACAATCCTTGGTTGGGCAATACGGTCTAATTTGTAATTATTCCCTAATTTCGCAATGGGATGGGATGGATGGCGCCACGAAGGTGTTTTTGCTCGCACAATTTGTCGCAATTCAGGTCGCGTGGTACCTATTTTTAACTTTGAGCGGGTGGTTTCACGATAATTCGGTGAAGGTGATAAAATCTTGGAAGGATTTGAGGGTAAGGAACGAGTGGGAGGGGAAATTGATTGGGAAGTTTAGGAAATCGTGTAAACCCATGTATATCGGGTATCCGGGGGTTTTTCGGATAAGGTATGTCACGGTGTTGAAGCATTTTCAGGGATTGACGAGAGGCACGTTTAGGATGTTGATTGCGTTAAAGAAAACTAAATAAAGTTATGTACATAAGGTGGAATATTTCTGTAATTGAGTTTTAATATCGCTCTACCCCTGTGTATTTAAATGTATGTAAATAAATTTCTAAAGTGACGGCAATTTTGAGACAAATACAACTTTTGATACTTTAATGCTAACATAATTTTTGGTCATACAAAACCTTGAACTTACATAAGTTATTGTCAAGCATTAGTCTTTTGGTGAAATTAGATATTATGCAGGCAGATTGTTTGCTTCAATTTACTCCGAATAAGATCAATTTTTCGTTTTAACTAGTATCATATTTTTCCGAGTATTTATAGCTTAACCGGAAGCTGTATGATTCCGATGGGGTCGCGTAGTCCCGGTCGGTCTTGTATAACCAGGTGGACAGAAAAGTCCCCAGAATCGGCATACTGGAGGAATAAGATTGAAGCCTTGACTGCCCCACATTGGCAGATTGAAGAAGAAAATCTTTTCCTCTTGTTTCGTGGGGACCGCTTGGAACTGAAATTATGTTTGTAAATTTACTAGGTAACACATTCCTTCAAAATTGAAAATTTGAAATTATGACAATGGAGATCTTTCAGCGCATGCGTCAAAAAATCGCAAGTTTAATTAATTGGAAATTTAAAAAAACATTATTTGCCAATGCTAAGGTTTGGTAGAGATATTTGCATTCGAAGAGAAGAAACATCGCAGTTACGTTACAAAGTATACCATTTGTCAATTTTAGGGCCCCTTTGCTCCTCTTTGAATGCAAATATCTTAGCCCCATATGAGCATTGGCAGATTGTATCATGAAAATTTCACAATAAAATGTGTGCCCTATTTACACTAGTTGGACTAAGTATCGGAGACAATGTGCAGGGAGACCTCCATTTTAATTACTAGATCACAAGTTACCCCAGCTACAAGAAGAACTGCGATGAAGACGTATTGGACCAACATTTTGCAATTTTTTGTACGCGACTAGTTTGTTAATTGTCCAGGTTGAACTTGATTAGTGATTCCAGGAGAATTAAGGTCACCAGTTTTTATAACAATCGACACAACGTCATAGAAACCAAACAATAATTTCGTAATGTTTGTTCAGCTTTTTAGGATTTATGAAATAAATTATATCGTTTAGCCACAAAATTGTTTTATTTATTTAGAATAAAATGTAATTTCTAAAGATCAATGTCAAACGGACATGCCTGTTAAGTTGACATTGGAATGTCCTCATCAGGAGTCCTCTTTAGGACGTACAGACATATGTATGTATGTGGGCATTATGTACCAATGCATGTATGCCTTTTAAATTATTTGCACAGCTTGTTTTCAAAATTTTGGGCACGTGTAAACTATGAAAACATGGGTCACTGAGAATTTATTTTCAAGGACAACATTTGTTAAATTCTGGAGTTATTGTGAAGCTTTGTTTAATTCGGTTCAGTTAATGTTTGCCTATCAACAGGTGCAAAAACGTTGGATGCCTGCACCACAAGTAACCACATGCGTGGGGATGATCAGAGAGTGCATTGTGTTTTTCGAAGAGGGATAGCATTTCTTCAAGTTTCAAGTAGTTAGTAGGTTAAGGTATATGTGAAAAAATCGGGTGTCCAATCAGTCACCGTGGAAGCGTGGGGACAGAGGAACAATGTCGCCAAAGGTGTTCAATGATTCTAGTATGACTTCTGTAGTGCAAATATTTACGACAATATGTATTAAACAGTCTCAAATTTATGACTCGAAGACTTTCATACTCGCTGAAGAGAAATATTTATTGAGCTTAGGCGCAACCTAACCTGCTTTCGAAAGGTCATTCGATATGACGCAATCGATAGCAAACTAGTTTGTTAGATAAATAAGTCAGGTGGAAAATTGCAAATATCAATTAGTCGATTTTTCTTAATTATAAAAATTAATGAGATTACATAGTGCACTAACTCGATATTCGAGACACGTTTGTCCATTACCTACCTGAATGTTTACCAGCATTTATTCTCCAACCTCACAATTAAAAGTTTCTCGCAAAATCTCTTTCGTCACCATGGACCCAACTTCTGTCGAAAATTTACTTCTACCAATACTAAAATATCCTCTCCTCGGGGTCCAAATAATCGGCTACGTCCCACTAACTACGGTACAAAAACCAGTAGAAATCATCTTTAAAATAAAATCCTCACCACAACTTAGCAAATCTTTACAGTTCTGCTGGCTCGGAATTCCAGTTCTCGCACAACTTTTCACTTTAGTCGCTTTTTCTATCTTTTCCTACCTTTTCTTTACATCAGACCAGCAAAAAGGCGGATTTCACGTCCACCAATACAGCCAACTGTCCACCGATTTCATCATAGTTTCTTCGATGACCTTAATCTCTCTCATTAACGCGATAGGGAGCCGCATCCATGGATTTTTCACGGTTCGAGACACCCTCGAATTTTGGCGTATGCACTGTCACGAGTTGGCAAAAATTTCTAAAATTTGGACACATCCCGAATTTACAGATTTACTACGAAAACAAGTTCAATCTCAGTTTTTCTGGACAATTTTTTGTGTATTTTTCCCAATTTTTACCATTCCATTCTTTGATTTGATTCTTTTCAATGCTTTTGGCGTTTCGAGTTTCCGAGTCTCCGGGTTAAGGATGGTTGTCGAGATGGACTTCAGTTTATTCTTGGGTATCATTTTCTGGATGTACTTCACATATTTGCACATCCTCCTAAGTAACTGGATCACATTTTTCGTCATGGTTTATAACCTCGTGTTAAAATGTGCGATTAAAGAAGTTGAAGCTTTAAGGATGAGTGACGATCTGCAAGATTTCGTCAGGCTTGAAAAGATTGACGATGTGACCCGATCGTACGACGTGGTTCTGGGATTGGTGGACTACTTTAATGAAAAGCTAGGTGTCAGATTAGTGTGCGAAGTTGTAAATAGCATCGCCTGGGTCTTGGGATGCACGTATTATGCCATAATTTCGTACAAAATGGGGGAAATTGGTAGCATGCTGACCAACCTGTTGGCCGGTGGTATGGCGATTAGGAGTTTGTACACGTACGGAGACCATGGTGAGACGTTGGAACAAAATCGGATTATCTTGGTGAAACGGTTGTGTGACGTCAAGGGGACAAACTTGGGGCCATGTGGGATGGAAAAGGTTAAGTTTTGTAATTAATGTCTTATTTATGAGGGAAAACTTAAATGTCTAAAATTTTGGATATGTAAATTTTTTTAGTTGAGGTTTCTTAAAGAGAAGGTCATCAATTGCAAGTTGGGTATCACCCCGGGAAAGTTTTTCACGCTGAATCGCAGCTTTGTGTTATCTGTAAGAAGGTCATGGTAACATTGAAAAAGTAGTGTTAATAATCGTTTTTTATATCAACAGGTTTGGTCTGCCCTTTTCACTTTATTAGTCGTAATGGCACAGTTAAGAGATTCGGATGAGATGGGAAGTGCGAATGTGGGGAACTCTATTGTGAATGCTACTGTAAGGTAGACAAACAAATCTGTATGATTGATTGATTGATTGATTTATTACAATGAGATTCCCCAATTCTGGGATGTAACATCTCAAGGGAGCAGAGTCATATATTACAAACACATAAAAATGAAACAAATCTTATCTTATTCCATATTATCTAACAATACAAGCATTTCTCTCATTCTCGTTTCACATTGCATATTTAAAAAATGACTTTTGATTTGCTTCTTTAACAAGTTAAAAGAGTTAATTAACGCACTTGTTAATACAGACAAATATGCATATGTCCTTAAATAAATGAGTTTAAAAAAACCTGAGGCACTCCTGTTTTTTCAAGCCATGCATAATTTTAAATCTACATATAGTATATGCTCAAAGGTGTACATATCTACATACATAAATACGTGTGCTTGAATTAAAGGTTTCCGCATTGACAAATAAATATGAATTTACAATAATTTATTGTTACATTGAAAAAAACTTTCGGAGAGACTGTTCGTACATTTTTAACCTTACAGTTTTAAGATTAGATACAAACTTACATACATTAATAAAACTTAAATCAAAATCGAATAGCAAATTAAATATAAAACCTGCAATGCGTGCAAATTTATTTTTGTTAATCCGAGTTGCAAATGCTCTTTAGACGGGAATGCGAAGAGGACACTTTAGTAGTGCATTCCTCTCACTTTTCCATGCCAAACAGCATTAATTAGCTCATTAATTAGTTCACTCATATGGCAAATTGCTAAGTAATATCAATTAATATATCCCACTTTATTGACCGGTTGGGTGGAGTATACCTCAACAAAGTACAAACATACATGCATACATACACCTCGATTATAAATACATACGTCCATTGCACATCCATCATCATCCCAGCATTTCGTGGATCATACCCACATATTCTTCCAATTTACAAGTGAAATATTACTCAAAAAAATTATTCGTCACCATGGACCCAACTACTGTCGAAGATTTGCTCCTCCCAGTAGTAAAATATCCTCTCCTCGGCGTCCAAATAATCGGCTACGTCCCCTTAACTGTCACACAAACACAAGCAAAAATCGACTCCAAAATAACACCCACCCCACAAAAAATTAAATTCTTACAATTCCGCTTGCTCGGAGTCCCCGTCCTCTTCCAAATTTTCACTTTTATCACATTTTCCATTTTTTCCTACCTCTTCTTTGCATCCGATCAACAAAGGGGCGGACTTCATATTCACCACTACAGCCAACTTTCTACCGATTTGATCATAATTTCTGCGATGGTCTTTTTCTCCCTAATTAACGCGATAGGGAGCCGCATCCATGGACTTTTCTCGGTCCGAGACACCCTTGAATTTTGGCAGATGCAGTGTCGACAATTGGCAAAAATTTCAAAAATTTTGACACATCCTGAATTCACAGATTTATTGAAAAAACAAGTTAACTCTCAGTTCTGCTGGACTATTTTCTTCCTCCTATTTCCAATGTTAACAATACCCGGCTTTGACTGGGTTTTCTTCAAGGGTTTCGGGCTCGAAAGTTTCCGAGTGACCGGGTTAAGAGTAACTATGGAAAAAGATAGTAGTCTATTTTGGGGCGTCATGGCTTGGATATATTTCACATATTCGCACATCTTCTTAAGCAATTGGGTCACATTTTTCGTCATGATTTACAACCTCGTGTTAAAATGTGTAATTGAAGAGGTTGAAACTTTAAGGATGAGTGACGATCTACAGGATTTCGTCAACTTTGACAAGATTGATGAGGTCACCCGATCATACGACATGATTCTGGGATTGGTGGATTATTTTAATAAAAAGCTAAGTGTCCGATTGATCGGTGAAGTGTGTATTGGAATCGTGTGGATCTTGGGGTGTACGTATTTTGCCATGATTTCGTACAAAACGGGGGAAATGGGTAGCACTTTGACGAACCTGTTGGTTGCTGGAATGGCGATGAGGAGTTTGTACACGTATGGAAACGAGGGCGAGAATTTGGAACAAAATCGGATAGTTTTGGTGAAAGCGTTGTGCGACGTGCGGGGGACAAATCTTGGTCCAGGGGGGATAGAAAAGGTAACATTAATTACGGTTAAGACAATGAGGGAACTCACGTCACAGTTTGTAACCTTCGTAACTGCGTAAGGTTGGAAAGCTTACAAAATTTTACGAACTTTTACACACATTTCTAAGGAAAATTGACTTACGAACTTTTAAGAAACTTACGCACTTCTAAAGCATGTTTTTGGTTCGTAAACAAAAGTTTGTAAATAATTCGAGTGTTTAGATCTGAATTTTCGGTTGAAATTGTCTTAGAGACGAATTGTCTATTGTAAATTTTTTTGTGATCTCGTCCCGTCGACATGCAAATTAATTTAATTATTTAACAAAAGATTGCTGCCAGCCGAAAATATTGGTCGCTATCCGACCAGCTCCCAAATGTCAAATCTGGGCTAAATTGACACACTTCATCCAGAGGTGTACGCTAGGATAAAGTTGGCTAGCAACATTTTGATGACGTTTTATGTGCGCTATTTTTTTTACTAAAAAATGTTTACGAAAATGTTTACAAAGTAAACTCACGTCAAGAGTGTGTAAACTTACAAACCTAACGCAATTACGAAAAGGTTACGAACTTGACGTGAAATCCCTCAATATTAATAGTCTTGGCAAAATTTCTGAGAGATTACTTGTTTTTTTTAAATAATGTGAAATAATCTACCATGGATACTACTCAGATTTTTATCTGAGTAGTAATATTTAACATTGGCCGACGAGTAATGACGCATTATTTATTGGGAAAAATTGAAATGTTTAAAATTTTGGATATGCACATTTGTAGTTGCGGTTTCTTAAAGAGAAGGTGATCAATTGCAAGTTGGGCATAACCCCGGGGAATTTTTTCACGCTGAATCGCAGCTTTGTGTTATCGGTAAGAAGATCATGATACATAACATTGAGAAAAGTAGTAAATACGTACCAATAATATGATATTTGGTATGTACAGATCTGGTCTGGCTTGATCACTCTGTTACTCGTAATGGCGCAATTCAGAGATTCGGATGAGATGGGAAATGGAAATGTTAGCAGAAATGAAGTGTCCATCGTTAATATTTCCGTAAACTAGCATATGCATAGCTCGATAAACAAATACTGGTATCAATTTATGTGGTAAGCAAACATGTGCTGAATATTAATTAACTAGCGTATAAGCCCGTCTCCCGCCGGGCTTATTTGATTTTCGTGAAAATTAAGTCGTGTTGTTTATAATTCCACCGAATAATTTTTGTATTGTATCTATATTATTAGCTGGAAATGTCGGTTGGCAACGGAAGTGAATCTTTCCCCACTTTCACTTCCGTCACGGAAAAATGTTTTCACTTCCGTTGCAGACAAACATTTCCAGCTTATACATAATATAGGTTCTGAATATTCTTATTCTTGATATTCCTGATTTCTGAATATTCCTGATAGTCATGATATTCTTGAAATTCCTGATATTCTTGATATTCCTGAAATTCCTAATATACTTGATATTCCTGATATTCTGAATATTCCTAAATTCCTGATATTCTGAATACTCTTATTCTTGATATTCCTGATTTCTGAATATTCCTGATGTTCTGAATATTCTTGATATTCCTGATATTCCCGATATTCTGAATATTCTTCATATTATTGAAATTCCTGATATTCTTGATATTCCTGAAATTCCTAATATTCTTGATATTCCTGATATTCTGAATATTCTTGATATTCCTGATATTCTGAATATTCTTGATATTCCTGATATTCTGAATATTTTCCACTTAACTCCGTGTAATCCAATTATTAAATAATGGATAGTGGATGGAAAGATATCAAACAAAAAATTCTGAATATTCTTGATGTTCCTAATCTTCTGAATATTCTTGATATTCCTGATATTCTGAATATTCTTGATATTCCTGAAATCCCTTATATTCCGAATATTCCAGAAATTTTAAATATTCCTGGTATTCTTGATATTCTGAATATTCTTGATATTCTGAATATCAAGAGTATCAACAATATTAAGAATATCAGGAATATCAAGAATATCAGGAATATCAAGAATATCAAGAATATCAAGAATACCAGGAATATCAGGAATATCAAGAATATTCAGAATATCAAGAATATTCAGAATATTGAGATACCGGGATATTCGGATATCGATTTATTGGGGGCTTACCTACATAACCCAGATAACTACCACCCCCAGAAAATCAATACCCCCTGATAACCCCAGATAACCAACCCCCCCAGATAACCAACACCCCCAGATAAGAACACCCCCAGATAACCAACACCCCCAGATAAGAACACCCCCAGATAGCCAACACCCCCAGATAAGAACACCCCCAGATAAGAACACCCCCCGATAACCAACACCCCCAGATAAGAACACCCCCAGATAAGAACACCCCTTGATAACCAACACCCCCAGATAAGAACACCCCCAGATAGCCACCACAACCGGATAATCATTTGGCCACGCTCAAGACTTTCCCTACTTTCACTTCCGTCACGAACAGAATTTTAGGACGGACAGATTTACGTTCACTTCCGTTGCCAACAGACATTCTCGCTTATAATATAGATAAGTCTTGTGTTAACACATGCATTAAATTAAAAATCACATATATTAATCTAATCCAAATCTAGGCAGAAAATAAATTTTAATTTATTCCAGTTACTATTTTGAAGGATTTTAGAAAAAGAAAGGTTTATGTTGCAAAATCAAATATTCGACACTATGTTTTTTTATTTTGTAGCGTTACCGTTTTGACCTGTAACATTAAGATCAACTGCATAATATTGCCACCGCGGTGACGCTAACATTAAACAACTTAAATTTTAAAGGAATTATTTTACTCGGGTGTGCTGAGATTGAATTTAAAACGAAAACTTCATTTTCATTGCACAATATATTTTTTTACATCGACTTTAAACCACCCAATTTTTAACCTCCGTACTTCTTCTTCCTCTTTTCTTTCATATACTCATGCATTTCTTTTAAGTTCATTTTCGTTCCGTCGCTCTTGATCGTCCAATCCTTCGGCTTAAAAATTTCCTTATTCTCCTTGGTCAAAATTTCTACCAAAGTTTTCGCCGTCTCGTCCGCCATCGGCAGCTTAGCCACCTTCCCGTCCACCCCGCCGCCTAGCGGGATGCTCCACGAGGTAAACAAATCCTTCAAATTTTTCCCTACACAGGTCGAAAACGTGACGAAAAACGTGTCCCACTTTTCCTCATCCGTGTTCGGAAGTTCACTTTCCTTCATTTTTCTATACGCCCGAAACATCTTTTTGAAAGGTTCCCATCCATACGAAAGTTCCAGCTGGTAAAAGAAAACGTCTGCAATTCCGCACATGCCGTCCCGCTTGAAGAAGTTGAACCTAGTCTTTTCGTCTATTTTGAGATATCGTTCCACCCGGCCGAGCATTTTTCCCGCGGGGTTGCACCAATTGGCTTCGATCATGGTCATATTGATGGTCACGTTTCTGACGTACGTGGCAAAAATTAGGTTGGTCACTTCCATCATGCCATCCATTCTTAGCGGGGGTTGGATATGGTTGTGACCCAGCTCGTGTAAAAATACCCAACCGTTTTGATAAGCTGTTTCGAGGTCGAGGGCGGTCATGGCGTTTTCGACGTAGCCCATGATAGGGTTTCCGGAATGCATGACGCCCTTCGTGATGTCCCGGTCGAAGACGACACGGTGGAAGTTAAGGTCTGGCTTGTACCCGGCCATGTCGGACATGGCGTCGACCGCGGTGACCCAGTAGGTCATTAAGGCGTCGGGGTTCTTGACGAGGGATGCGTTTCCGGAAGGGACGGAGAAGATGAGGCGTTCCGAGACAAATTCGGAGAAGGGGGCGTCGTTGTTTTTGGAAAGGGCGGAGTTCCAATCGGCTTCGGGGGTTTCTTTGAAAATGAAGGTGTTCGTGGCGACGGCGCCTTTGACTTCGAGAGTGACGGTGGAGGGAGAGCCTTTGGCGACGATGTCGGACACATAGATTAACCCGCCGAAAGGAGAGGCGGCTTTGGCCCGGTTGGAGGAGTAGGTTTGGAAGTAGGATATCTTGGGGTATCTATGGGTAGAAGGAAGACAAGTTTTATTTGGCACACTGTTAGGAATCTGGTATAGTCAGGCAGGTATTGATTTCTCGATGGAAAGTTGCTACTGCTGGGTAATAAAATTATACCAGTCGGTAAAAATTTACTACCGATATGGTAAAATTTTAATATCGAGGTATTACGACACGGGATTATCCACATTTCAATATCACTTCGGTAGAGTTATGTATGAATACCGCTTAGTATTATTTTAATACTGGATTTCTACGAGTGCGGGAAACTTTTTATAGACAATTTAAGATTTACCTTGTCCAATTATCCTTGTAGTCTCTCAAATCATCATTGTGCGGCCCAATGATCGCCGTGAAACTGGTAACTTTATCCGAGTGGAGAATAATTTCGACGACTTCTCCCGCCGGGGCGTACATCGTGGAGGAACACCAAGCTATACAAGCACGATCTGAGTGCGGTACAATTCCAAGTTTGTATGGCTCCGCGCCATCTTCTGGGAACCCTTTTTCCTTACTGTATTCCAACGCGTGTCGTTGGTCCAGGGGTATCGTGCGATTGAAGGAAGCCACTCGAACCGCCGTTGGTTTGACTGCCCCGGGAAAATCGGCGTGGGCGGGGTGCGCCTGAATATCTTTTGGTTCCAATTTCATCCACTTGATCCACTCCACGTCTACTTGAAGTTTTTTAAGTGCCGAAGCCTTAACGGGGGCCTTTGCGGTTGGGTTGATTGGGGGTAACGAGTCGAAAACCGGGGTAAGTTGAGACAACCAAGGAATATAAGCGTCGTCCACACCTTCCAGCGCGAATTTTAAAATTTTCGCTATTTTTGAGTATCTCACGTCCTCCTTGCCACCCTCGGCGTCATTAGTTTTTACCATTTTTGCCAACTCGTCAATAAGCAGATGAGTATGCGTATCCCTCAAAAGATCTAATGACGCGTCGAGAACACCAGAATCAGGTGGATCTGTTTGCGGGGTAATTAGAAACAGTCCAGCCGGGCCAATCAGCACATTTGCGTAATGGGCTTTCAGCTCGTCGCCGTTTCGATGCCAACTATTACACGCGCCCACAAACCCGCCACCCTTTTCGAATATAAAATCCTTCAAAATCGCGCCATTCCCGGGGGTCAAGTCCCACATGAATGCGTTAATTACGACATCCACATCCGCCAAAATTTTGGATGAAAGGGAAACACTTGGTGAAACTGTTTTGGCGGAATAGCCCTCCTTTTTGAGAAACGAGGTTAAATCAGCGGTATTATATTTGCTTAGAATGACTGCCTTCTTCTTCCCGCCCCCGCCGGTGGTCCATTTAATAGCCGAAATCAACAATGGGTTTGGCATCCCGGGCGAAAGTAGGGCCAACATGTCGGAAGCGTAAATAATCATGCGCCCCTTTCCGTATTGCGCGCCACCGACTACGGGGAGACTTATTTTCGCATCGTCTCGCAGGGGTGATGTGAGAATGGGGAAGGAGACATCCTTCTTTAGAATGACGAGAGATCCGGATGTCATGATCTGCACGGTAATGGATGCAATTCCTGAGAGGATCTCAGATACTTCTTTTTCATTCGGAATGGGGCCGGATGTGGAGCGCTGTGAGGGGGATTTTGAGATTTTTGAAATTTTACTGCAAGATTTAGAAATTTCATAAATTTATGTACATATGTACCTCAACTGCACGCCCTACTGATTTATCCGGTGGGGTAGGACGATCCTCGTCCAACGGCATTTCTTCACTTTCCTCAAGCTCGATGAGCTTTCCGGTTTTGTCGCGGTATGAGATTTCTTCGGACTGAAAGTTTGCAACCAATTAGGAATTAAATTAAATAACAAGTGGTCGTTTGAAAAATGATAAATATGTACATACCTTAATGGTGTCCATCAAATTAAATAGTAAACCAAGTGCAATAAATCCTCCCATTTTTAGAAACATTTTGAACAATTTTTGAGACTGATGGTTACATAGGATGCCAAATATCTACTCTAATAAAGTGTTAGTATGATCCCTGGGTCCCTGGGTCCGTCTTCGCAATGCAAATTGCCCCATACAGTAGACAAAGAAGGAAGCGGAGCAACCACTGCATGCATGCACTGCACTGCATGAATAAATGAATACATGAACATGTACACCCCACATACATACATCACTCATCAATAGTGGTTATCATGATAAGTGATCGTGATAAACACTATTAATTAATTATTTTAGTTTGAGAAACTCTACCCACAGCGAGTGGCATGTCAATTCGAATGTATTTTTGACGCTGAATCCAACGCCGTCAATGGTTTTGACCTGCGAGGCCCCCGTGACCTCGCCGTGACCGTGGTGTCCAAATCTGGCTTATTCGTGATGTCGCATATCAATTCGAATGTATTTTTGACGCTGAATCCGAATCCGTCAATAGCTTGGCGTTAATTGTAGAAGTTAACGGGGTTTATGGAACTTAACGGGAGCGTGAAGCGTGGGAATTTAAATAGTTAGCTATGCAGTTACTCCCACGCGACGGGAATTTAAGTAATTAGCTATTCAACTACTCCCACAGGGGGAAATCAAATTGTACTGTGACCAGGTTAATTAAAATGCAGTATGACTTGGGCAAACCCTCAGTCTGATGTATGTATGTAGTATGACAAAGTCTCCACTGGGAATTATTTAAAGTATAGTATGACGGATTTTTCGCTTTGGGCACACCCCCCACTGGAACTCTAGAACCCGGCCTTGGCCGGGCTATACGCTAGTGTAGGTAATAATATAAATGCAGATCAGTTTGGATTACAAAATCCAATGGATGAATGAACACAGAATAAATGTAGGCAGAACAATAGGACATTAAGAAACTTATGTTGCGTCGGGCAGGATGTACCAAATTAATTCAATAATAACTTCATACGTGTGCGTCTGACTTGTTAAAGAATTGTGACGTCTTTGACTACAACGTGTCCTTTGCAAAGTGAGATTTTTTGCGTAATGTATGCATAACAAGAGTATTTAATAACTTTTCCAAGATTATGTTATATCTACATAAATATGTACACTGTTAAAACTCTGGTAGAGTCACATATGTAAATACAGAGCGTCGCTTTTTTATCTGATAAAGAATTTGACCTTGAATAACCCCGGAACGGTTTGTCGTAGCGGGTCAAAATTTTGAACAGACGTGCATGTTATTCTCAGGTACGTGTGTGCAAAATTCCAACTCTCTACTTTCAAAAATGCCTCCCCCACAGCCCCCGGAAGGTGAGGCAGTCATAAAAACTCTTTGCAAACTTAAGTACCCGTCTAGCCTAAAAACAAAACATATTAAAAGTGAAGGAAAAACATTTGCGAAATCTAGAATCAATAAGGTATTTAAAAATATAGGTGAAAAGCGAGAAATTTTGAGCTAAGGGCAACCACCACCCCCTCCAAGAATGCAAAAAAAGTGTTAATTCCGACCGTGCTTAGGAAAATTTACCTATTGACCTCCAAAGACAATCGACCGACCCAAAAGGAAATTTCCCTTAAGGTTGGGGTGTCTAAGAGTTGAGTGAAAAGAGAAATTAAGGTTTTGAAAACACGACTTCGTCGGAAACCTCGTGTGCATCAGCTGACCGAAAAACAAGAAAAAAATCGCGCCCGCCTTTGCAAAAAAATTTATTCAAATTTTCTGTCAAGGAATAAGAGTAAGGTTTTGGTGACATTTGACCAAGCATAAATTTCTCTACAAAATACTAATTGGGTTCGAAGAGCTTACTACACGACAAATGCCGAAAATAATTCATGCAAGTTGGTGCTTTCCCGTGAGGAGAAGTTTTGAAACAAGTTTATGGTCGTGGGTGCAATGTCCTACCGTGGGGTCCTCCCACTTATCAAAGTCCCCCAAAAAATCATGAAATCGGCAAAGTATTATGCGGACCGTGTGTTGAAACCACTTTTAGAATAACATTATACTAAATTGTACCGTAAAAAATAAATAAGGTGACTATTCACCATGACGGTGCGTCTTCCCACACGGCAAAGTTGACCCAAGATTATGCAAATGACCTTAAAGCTAGATTGGAGATAAAAATCACTTCGAATAGTGAAATACCTGTACAATCCCCTGATGTAAGTTAAATGGACTTCTTTAGGTTCGGACACTTAAATATAAAAATCTTTCTGTGGGGACCGAATTTTTTAGACGGAGTTTGGAAAGAGTAATAAATACATTTAAAAAAACAAACTTAGGTGAAGGACGCGCTTAAAATATTAAAACAAGAAGCATTACAAAATGTTACAATATCGTTTAATATTTAGTAACTTTTACTTCACCGTGGGCCCAACTACCTATTTCATTTTCACAGCGATAATTAACACTAAATGCAACTAAAAGAGCGACAATTAAAACGATAAGTCTATCTGCTTCAGGGATAGTTATTAAAATGAGTCAGACGTTGGCAAATTTTCTCTATACCACATGTGCAAAGTCACTATTTATTGAAAGATAATAATTCAAATCTAGCAAGTTTATTATATAAAAATTACGTATTTCGTTTACACAAAATGCCTGAAAGTATTTTTTTCCCTGTTAGTTGGGCCCACGGTGAAGAAAAGTTACAAAATATTAAACGATATTGTAACATTTTGTAATGCTTCTTGTTTTAATATTTTAAGCGCGTCCTTCACCTAAGTTTGTTTTTTTAAATGTATTTATTTAATTATTTTTAGTGAAGTGTGAACTTAAATGTATAAAATCATAATATCAATTCTTAAACGTTGTGAACTTTCCCATGGGTGAATGCGTGGCATACTAATTTAATCCCGAGTGGGTGGATCAGTAACATTGTATTTCATGGAATTTGATCAATGCTTAATTTTTCAGAATTTTAAGGAATGTTACATATGTTGAAATAGTAATGCTAATAAAAAATAAACCTGACATTATTAGCATACGTTAGCAACCAGTAACCTAACACCTGTATATATACGTAAATAGGTTGCTTAATGACAATATTTCAAAAAGCTCTAATCCCTTGAGTTTTCATCCGATTAAGTTGAATAAAGGCTTAAAATGTGCGTATTATCCAGGAGAATAGTAAAAATGGCAAGCCCCCGGTGGGAAATACTTCCTTGATGCCAAGAAATCGATTTGCAACTTTACCCATCGGACTTTCTACCTGAAGGAATTAGAATTTGGAAAAAATAAGAAAAATGTCACTGTAGAACCGAATTCTCTAACTATTTTGTTTCAACATGTTTTCCGTACAACGAACGGTTGGGGAGAAATCTCAGTGGGAGTTTCTCAAAGTTGCAGCTGAATGCATACCTAGGCTTCGCCGTAACCATGGTGATCTTTTAACATGATCACTTTATGGTTACTTTCCCTTCACCTAAGAAAAATGAGTGTCTCAACTTCTGGGGGCTGTTGGGGAGGCATTTTTGAACGTAGAGAGTTGAATTTTTGCACACACCTACCTGAGGATAACATGATCCTCTGTTCAAAATTTTGACCCGCTACGACAAACCGTTCCGGGGTTATTCAAGGTCAAATTCTTTATCAGATAAAAAAGTGACGCTCTGTATGTATATGCTCCGTACTGCTAATGATTTGATGATAACTTCTTACTGGACTGATCGTAGTTTGTTTTAAGTGATAAATTTTTTATTGTCACAATACTACGGACCGTAATGCTCGTTATTACCGTGCCGGTACAGTAATGTATGTATGTACTCCGGTCAGTAATGATTTACTGATAATTGTAAAATAAATTCCTTACAACTTATTTACATTCGTACATGTGTAACAATGTTACAGTAACATTATTCTTTGTAAGAACACTGGTAGAAATGATAAACACGTCCATGAATCCCATTAAATATGTTTCTATAAAAGTACTTACAATAGAGATCTATTAGCGTATGCTCTAGGATTTTGATCAAATTAGTGTAAATCAGTGAGAAGTTTAATTAGTAATAGTTTATTAACTTTTCAGCGCGTTCTCTCCTCTTTTTATCCAAATATCTCCATCAAACATGTGATATTTGCAAATTTCATACTACCTAATGTGATGCATTGCCACTACATAATCTGCTCAATATGAAGGCACACGTCGGCAGACCTCCATTGTCAGATGCGATCATCTTACGAAATAACCTTCTATTTCAGTTCTCCAAAACATTATTAGATGCTTCAAAATAAAATTTGATAATTATTAGATACAATTTTTTGTCTAGTCTCAAAATATGATCAATATCTCAAATATTTATCAGGCTTATACATACTACCACTCCAATCCTCTGCCCAACGAACCAGCCAGCTTTTTTACACGAAGCCCCCTGTATTCAGTTCACTTGCATACGACAGCATTTGTCTTATCAAGACACTACATTTTGACGTTACGGTGTGTGTCTGGGTTATGCTCGGCTTGCATAACCACACAAAATTTAAACAATTAAAACGCAAATGAACTGATAACGCTTAAAGCTTCGTGTCTGTATGTATGAAGCACCATGTACGCTTGCTGTACCTTGTACATACATACATACTTGCAAACCCACTGAGGTACCATCGTATGATACATTTATTGATGAGTCAAGAAAATAGTTGAATTGTGACATTATTTAATCCGTCATCCAGGTGATCATGTTAATTCAATTTACTAATTCCTATAAACAAGTACAACAACGCCTTTGTACTGCGCAAAATGAAGTGGCATGATATTCCAGGCGAGGTACCTTGAAATTTGTAATCAGGTCATAAATTTACTGATGGTGAGATTGTCGCAAAACCTTGTTTAATCAGTACGAAGTCTGAATTTCAGAAATGCAATACAAGGAGTCCAAACCCGAGGTGATGCAATATCCTGAATTGCGTGTATAATTGCGTTAAAAAAAATACGCAGTGGTTCGTTCGCAACTTAGTAATTTGTACCCGAGTGGCGTGGTTGCTTTGCAAAATGGTTCGGTTCGGGCGTCTCCCCTCCAGTATAAAAACTCGCTGCATACAGAACGGAACTTATGAAGAGTTCATAATAATTACGGTCCAAATAAATAAGCTTTCTCTCTGTTTGAGAATATTTACTAGTTCGAGATGAACTGCAAAGTTGTGGGGGCACTCTTACCTTTAATGGTTTTTACAGTGGCTTATGCTACTCCAGCGAAAATGAAGACGCCCTTGCCCAATAATTTGCCTGGTAAGATACAAAATTTGTTAAAACTAAATTAATAGTCGTAAAGTATTAATATCAAATATTCGTTAAATATTAATATTTACAGATAAGCATGAAATCGCCTCCACCATCTTCCAAGAAATCATCATTCCCAAACTTTTCGCCCAATTGACATCCCATTCCATCCCGGAAATCCAAGGAAACCTAAACTCCCTTAAATCAGAGGACCCTGCACCCATTCCCGCCTTTAACCTGTCCCTCGACTACGACCCACAAACCTGCCCTGGCCAACGGTTTTCCGGCATTTTTGCCGCACAGGATATCCTCCTCCACGGCTTGGCAGAACTTGATACCTATTTGGATGTGGCATACTACCCATTCGCTGATGCCCTTAGAATCACCTTTACCGCGTCTTCACCCAGTAAACTTCGCCTCTCTGGAAATTACGGGCTCCAACATCTAACCGAAATCCTTGTGGGGTTTTACGGTTCTGAATGTAGAGCTGTTGCAGAACTGCCATCTAGCGGGCATGGAGGCTGGTTCTTCGAGGTGGAAGCTCCCACTGTCGACGCCGGCATCACAATACGTATGCCCCACGCTGGTAACGTGTTCGTTGTCTCGTACCGGGGAAACTTTAACGTCACCTCGATTAATATGAGCTTTGACAATTACGTAATGTATGACTACTACGAATTTGGACCCGAACAATGGGCCTTATGGGCGGGAGATTTGGAGCACATGGTTAAACATGCGGACCGGGCGTATCTCGATCAGAAGTTTAAACGTGTCGTGGATGAGATTATTAAGGTAAGGAGGGTGTTACATAGATTTAAGTGATTTCCACATAAAAAAGATTATTTATGTATGACACACGCTGTATTATTTTATTTAGGACTGCTATGCCTTGGACTATTTTACAGAGAATTGTGAGCAATTTTATTTATATTGTGTAATTCAAAGGTTGAGAGGGATGCCGTAAATTAAATGCATTTTTTTCTTTCAGGGGCATGTCTCAACTTGGATTGATATTAAGATGCATGGACCTTGTACTGGATAACAGTGTTACTGGCTAAAAAAACAATTTTAATTATATTTATTAAATTTAGTTATGAGTAGTGAATACAGGTAAATAAATCATTTGTGGAAATTCGTGAATAAATCCTATGAGCAAAATAATTAAAATTGTGTGTTCAATTCTACTGGTCATATTATTACTTAATGAAAATCTGTTCGACGAATTGCATATTCATTTCACGATGCGGTTTTAATTTTGAAAAGTCATTGATCGAACCCAGCATACCCCGGTTTTTACAAGAATAGAACACTAATAGGGATTAGTCTGCAAATTCAGTGATTTTCCAGAGAAAATTTGCATAAAGCTTAAAGCATAATAAGTTGCCGAAGTCGCAGGAGCTCTTAAAGATGAGCTAAGTACTACACAAATTAACAAACATAATTTGAATGAGGGCCCAGAAATATTGAGCTGAGATTTATAGAAAAACAAAAATTACACATAAAGGTCAACCACTTTTCTATCAGTTTCTCGATTACCTTGAACAAAGCCCAGACTTGTGTGCATACTTAAAACTAACATCGTCAATCTTACATACTTTGTCCCACCGCGGTGTGCGTCACTAGATTAAACCTCCCTCATATACATAAATATTTCCTGATCTTCCTTTGAACACAGACCGAAAACAATTTACAGTCTTGACTTCATATAATCAATTGATAAACCGCATATCTAATTTGAGTGGGATTTCGTATGATAAATCGACCAAATACCTGAGGATAAGGATTACTTCTGCAAACAGTTTACCGACTTAATTGGACAATAACAATCCCACCCCAATTTACATACATATCTATTCTTATCAAAACTTGAACAATTTTTACATAATAAAATTCCGACAAGTTTGACCAACTGACTTTGCACATTTCTGTGTGGTTAACCCATAAAAATTTATGGGGTGATTAAGTACAGCCTCACAAGTAGAAATCATTTTATGATAAAATGCTTTAGCGTTGATCCCTTTATTCTTTTCGTCACGATCGTATGATAACGATTAATGAAAACCAATACTCTGTCCGAATTTAAATTCATTTCATACAAATTACGACCCACTGCATGTCCAGTTGCTTTACCTTAAACTGACGTACATATATGCATTTCTTTAAAGTAAGACAAATATTGAGAAAATTAATGTAATCTTTGGTAACTTGTAAAATCTGGGTATATTGTTACATAATTTTACGAAATAAAGGGACGCCCTTTATCTGATCCTGAGTAAGCTTACAAAAATCTGTAGCAGCTAGTCTAATTTTCTTTAGAAATGTTTGCAAAATTTTTTAAGTTTACAGAATATACAAAGCTATTTTACAATGTTACCAAACACCGCGTGAATATCTCGATTATCCATTTGCCACCGTGAAATATGTATACAGTGTCGGACAGATGTCTACGTCCACATAGTCGCGTCAATTTCATTTTCAAATTGTCACTGAACTACTGAACCAATTTTCATCATTGATATATCAAATTCTCACAAATTTAACGTAATTTCATAGCACATTATTAGTTTTCCGCTAAAAAATTTATTTTAGGCCAGAGATGTATTTTAATTCAAAATGAAAACAATTGGATGGACAAAAGTCAACGTCCAGTCAGAGAAAACATACAAAAAAAACTAGAATTTATAAGGAATGTTATAACAATTAATTTTTAATATTTGGTTGGGCCTCCGTTCGCTTTAAGGACGTCTTCAAGGCGTCGAGTCATTGAGTTTATCAAATTCTTGGTCACATCTTCAGAAATGGTTTCCCAAACTTCACGAATTCTGGATTTAAGGCCCGGAATTCCTGAAAAAGATTGTTTTCTTATTTCTCTTTCAATGTGGTCGCACAGATGCTCAATGGGATTCAAGTCTGGAGATTGGGGAGGCCATTCTAGCTTCGGAATTTTTTTTTCTTGAAGTATTCCATGGTGGACTTGGCAGAGTGTTTCGGATCGTTGTCTTGTTGGAAGGCAAATCGTCGTCCAAGTCCAAGTTTTCGAACAGATTCCTGGATATTACGGTCAAGTATTCCCTGGTACTTGTATTGGTCCATAATTCCGTCAATAAATTCCATTTTTCCTGCCCCACTTGAAGCCATGCATCCCCACACCATTACCGACCCGCCGCCGTGCTTAACTGTGGGGTTGAGATTTTTTGGATTCAAAGCTTCTTTTGGATATCTCCACACTCTACGACGCCCATCTGACCCAAAGACATTGAACTTTGACTCGTCAGTCCATAAAATATGTCCCAGAATGTTTGTGGCTTGGAAATGTGGTCTCTGGCAAACTTCACTCGTTTGGTTGCATTCCTCGGTACAATAAGAGGCTTCCGGACTGCTCTGTGGGATTTCAAATTTCCCTTATTCAGTGTTCTTTGGATGGTCATAGGACTAACCTGTTTGCCGAACATCTCCTTGATCTCGGTAGATAGCTTTGGAGCACTAAGTGAGGGTGTAACGTTGACTTTGTTGAGTACGTGGCGTACTTCTCGGTGAGCCAAAATCGGTTTTCGACCACTTCTGACCTTGTTTTGGACTGAACCATTAGCTCTAAAGTTCTTAATGATTGTCTGGATGGTTGTCCTTGCTAATTTATACTTGGTCCCTATTTGTCTCTGCGACAGCCCCCCTTTTTGTCCACCCTTCCAGTCCTGAATTACAAGATCTCGAATAGCGATAGGAATTTCCTTGCGTGTCGACGCCATCATATTTTTCTGGAAGAAAATTATTTAAAAATTAATGCGGCATATGTTATTGATAGATTTATTAAGTTACCTGATTTTATAAATTGGAGAGATTTTTGTTGTTGACAATTAAAGTGAAGTGGACGTAGACTTTTGTCCGCTCAAATTTCATCCTCTCTCGCTCTGCACTATGATTCTCAGTTTTCCCAGAATTTTCAGAAATAACTGATATGTTTTATGAAATTACGTTAAATTTGTGAGAATTTGATATATCAATGATGAAAATTGGTTCAGTAGTTCAGTGACAATTTGAAAATGAAATTGACGCGACTATGTGGACGTAGACATCTGTCCGACACTGTATCTCAAATAATAATTACAGAAATTAGAATTTAAGAAAAAATTAACAATTTTGAAATTTTGTACACAGAATGTCCCCCCTCTTCCCGACAATTTTTATCTTCCTCCTTTTCCACACAATGGAAATAAATTGTCAAGGATGCAATATCACTACGCCATGTGCCACGCCCCATTGCTGCTCCCAGTGGGGTAATTGCGGTCACGGGCCCGATTTTTGTGGCGACGGGTGCCAACACGGATGCGATTCTGCCCCCACTTGCGGTCTCTACGCACACGAGGAAAACTTCCCTGTGTCCGTTTGCTGCAGCCAGTTTGGAAATTGCGGGACAACTTCGGACTTTTGTGGGACTGGGTGTCAAAACAATTGCGGGGACGCGCCCACCTCAACCTGTCAAATTTCCAGAGATATGATTCGTGTCGGTTACTACTCATCGTGGGCGAGTGCTCGGGCCTGTGGGAAATATTCCGTGGACGAAATTCCCGTCGGAAATTATACCCATTTGAATTACGCGTTTGGAAACATTCAAAACGGCGTGATGATCAATCCCTCTGAAGGAACGGAAGAGTGGGACAATTTAGCGGCTTTTTCCGCCCTCAAAGCCACAAATCCTGCGATACGCCTCCTAATTTCCGTGGGTGGCTACGCCTTCAACGATCCTGGACCAACGCAGCGGGAATTTCATAATTTGGCCATTAATACCACTACCCGGGCGAGATTTATTCAATCCGTGTCCACCTTTTCAGAGGAGTGGAACCTTGACGGTTGTGACGCAGATTGGGAATATCCCGTGGACCCAGACCGCGGCGGGAGTCCGGAGGATAGGGAAAATTATGTCGCCCTGCTGAAAGAAATGCGGGCAGCTTTTGGCCAAAAGTGGTTAATTACTATTGCCGCCCCGGCGAGTTACTGGTACTTGAGGCATTTTAAGGTAGACGAAATGCAGGCACAGCTGGATTGGATAAACGTTATGAGTTACGATTATAACGGAGCGTGGGACCCGGAACGGCTCGCGAGACCACATTCGGGGATTCGAGAGATGGAAGAGAGTCTCCAATTATTCAGGAAAGGGGGCGTACCTCCAGAAAAGTTGGTTTTTGGGCTGGGATTTTACGGGAGGTCGTACACTTTAACCCAACCAGAATGCGGGAAAGGGTCCGGGTGTGAGTTTAACGGGCCTGGGGAAGCCGGCGCGTGTACGGCGGGGGCAGGGACATTAGCTTACTTTGAGATAGAGGAGTTAATCAAGGCGCAGAATTTAGCGCCAGGCCTGGATTCTCTGTCTTTAACGAGATATTTGAATTATGACGGGGGCAAACAGTGGGTCACGTATGATGATGAAATCACTCTGAAGTTTAAAACGGACTGGGCAAGGGTTAATTGTTTGAAGGGAGTCATGGTGTGGAGCGTGGATCAAGGGGTGGAGAAGAAAGTGGAGGAAGAGGACAATACTGGGGGAAGTGAGACAACTGTTAGTGGTGTTAGTTTGGTCGTGGTAACCTTTTTGGGGGTTCTTCATGTTCAAGGCAGGTTTATGTAGATTGTAAAAAATATTTCATAAAAATGTTCCAAAAACTGTGTGCTAAACTTCGGAAATATTATCGGGTAAATAAATATTCATTTACTTATGTATGTAAGGCAAAGTCTATTGAAATATTTTACTCTTTGTTGTTCTGGTAGTCATATTGGTATTTGGTCGGAATTTCCTACAGTCATATATGAATACCGCGTATGTAGTACTTATGTATATTGTTTTAAGAGTGGATTTCTAACCTTCAGGCACGCAATTATGTTTGTGGCTATACAATTGTATTATCTGCAAATGCAAATATGCATTCGCTATGCCACCAATTACTCCTAAATTAAGCATGCAGTTACTATATTTAAAAATAATAATTAAAATTAAATCCACCAAAGAGCATATTCGCCATCCCACCTACAACTTTGTTAACCTGACTCGCACAATCAGCTTCGCTAAAACAATGGGGTCCCGGAAGGACTTCATAAATAACTTTCCCCCCAGAGATAAGCCAATTTCTTTCCATTGACCAAGTCATGGGGTATATTTCTTCTGGTGAGGAAGTCGCGTGGTAATATATGTATAACGCCTCACTTACGTATTTGTATCTGTAGATTTGCGGGTTCCTCTCCTTTTGAATTATAGGAATGAAAATAATTTGATATCCGATCATAAAGTTGGATCTGAACAATTACGTATTATGCTTTTTGTATGAAGTATTGTATTTTTCGGATACTTCATCTCCGATTAATTCAATCCACTCATTTTTCATACACTTTCAGCATGCCAACATTTTTGGTTGGAAAGGTACATACGTATACGTATATACGTATAGAATGTTATACATATGCAACGAGTTCTTATTTTCATGCACCGAGTTTGCACCCACTCCACATTCCCAGCTGACTTTCTCCTCTGCTTTCTCTATATCCCTGCTTCTACACTTCTCTGTTCTTCCATTCATACGTTAAAAATGTTCTGTTGTATTATGTATTATAAATTTAACCAACATCCCTCTTAAAATAGTATTTGTAACTCATGGTGCTTAAATTATTCGTATACAACGTTTCATGTATATAATTTGCACGGTATACATGTGTATGTATATATGCCTCGTAACACCGATATTAAGGACCTTACTTGGGGCATGTGATTATTTCTTAGAAGTTTTAACCCACAATCTATCCCAGCGATGGATACTGATTAGTATTTAATGGACGTAAAAAGGATCTTGGCCCTCAGTTCAACTGTGTACATTCGAATTCGCAGTAAGTTTCGCAATAAATATATGTATGTAAGCTTACCGAGCTGACCATGTACACGTTTATAAATGTGTAAATTTCATGGATTTTAGTTTACATTATAAATATTTCTAGGCTTGTTAACGGCGTTTCTAATCTCGGACAATATATCAAAAAAATTTGACTTGCCATTTATTTCTGGTAAGATGATTACAGTTACATAAAAGTTGTATTTACCTACATGCACATTCAAAATCAGAAAATGCTTATATACATTTATCAAAATTATGATTTTTCCCAGGACCAATGACTCTCAGCTGAATAAATCGTCATAAATTTCCTCTAATGCTCCCAGAAAAAGATGACCTATTATTTCGAGGTATCTTCACCCTCGTCAACCTTATCGGCTACATCTTTGCCGGACTCTGCGTAGGTCTCGCGACATATAAATGTTGCCAAAGTATTCGAAAAAGTAGGGGAATTATGTGCAAGACATCTTTTCCGGACGGGGGAGAAACTACACTAAATCGACAATCCCAAAACGAAAGAAACATCGCAAATCCGACAGGTATTGGACAAAATGTAAATAGCGAAAGTGTCCAAATTAGCTCGAACTTTGGAGGGCGAGATGATTATCCTCCACCTGCATACACACAGTGAAACCGTTAAGGTGCATGTAAAAACTATTTAAAAGGTGCTAGTGGTGCTGGAGATTTAAGTATATGTAAACACGAAGAATATATGCGACTTGATTGTTTGTATTATTTATTAGGTGGTATTTAGGGTGTTAAGTATTCCTTCGTACCCTAAACAGTATTATATATGCCGTAAAATTGGATATGATAGTTACGAGATCTTGTAAGCGTCGTACATTTAAATGTCACACTCAGAAAATCTCGTTACCAAATATTGGCTTACGATTTTTATGAAGATTAACCCCTCGTTTTTCTCCGGAAACTATGTATTCCACGATACTAAGGATACGAAGAAAATTGTGAATACCCTCATTGATATCGTAAATCTGTAACTCTTCCCCGGTTAAAGAACTTGTTGATATAAAAAATGTATTCACATTTATTTACGAGTCACATAAATATGTAAAAGTATAAGTTTGAAAAATACAAGTGACAATCCAAAACTTATTTTCTGCTCTAAATTTTGTGCATGTTTCAATTACATAGGTACATATGAACATAGGGACCGGGCATAAATACACTAGGGAGCAATATTATTCGGGTAAGGGGAACGTCAAAATTCAAATTAGAATAAGTAGGTAACTGGCGAAGATATCGATTTCAATTCTTTTGCCGTTTATGCACCATTTAGTAGCCTTTCAGTGGTATTAACCTCATTTTTGAAAAATTTCAAACTTTCGCATAATCAAACTAGAAGTGAAGAAAGTCAGAAAAAAAGAGAGCATAATTATTCGTTTTTTTTTGTAAAAACGCTAATCTTTATAAAGATTACAGTGATAAGTAAAAATTGTTCCGTGCCATTAATGAACCATGTTTTTGTCTTCTTAATTTTGTAAATTTGAAACTTGTAAGTTGATGGGAAGATAGGCTGGAGCGGTTCTCATTGTGGTACTCGGCCTGCATTGGATATACAATGAAAACGGGAAGAGCATGCAATGTCAAAATTTCAAAATGCATTATATCTCGTCCCCCTATCCACCCAATCATTAAAAAATATAGACAGAGACAACTGCAAAGATCCTAGAAACAGAAACAATTTCTAAGCTTCCCTGCAAAAAAATAACAAGCAATCGTTAAAAAAGTGTAGGCCAAGCTCAGACTTTCAGGACCCAAAATCGCGGCCGCGGTCCAAAATTAACTTGGAAAGTCGGCAAGTCGATTTCGAGAAGCAAGAAACCTGAAAACTGCCAGACTTAAAAAATTTGGAGCTAGGAAAAAACAATTAATCAGCAAACTGGATCAAGAAAAAGAACGGAATTTCGAATGCGTCCATATTTTGTAGGAATAAGATTTTTGAAAGTCTGTCGAATCGTGCGACGAAAGTCTTCTGAATCTGATTGAAGCGCTCGAGTTTTGAGAAAGTCAGGGGGAGAACTAACAATGACGAATTTATAAGCTACAGTATTGCATAGTGGTGGCAGTATTATGACCTGGGGGCCTTCTAGCTCTTCCGCTGGTGGAAATCACGAATTTTTGAATTGACTCATGAACCAATTTGTCCACCAGGGTCACCTAAATAGAAATCGAACAAGTTCTTTCACCATGAGGGCCCTGGGTCGTCGTTTTACATTCCAACAACACCAAGACCCCAAGCAAAAAGCTGTGTCAGCTTGAGAGAAGTTTGAAAAAACCTCATTGTAGTGATGGAATGGCCCCCACAGCTCATAGATATTAATCCCCTAGAACCTCTCTGGGACCAGGTCGAAAAATAAATTCGAAAACTCAAATTTTCAGACATGGGCGACGTGAATTAAAAAAATTCTGAAGCATGGGAAATGTTGGTGAACAACACATATTAGGATTAGTTGCATCTATCTATTATCTTCGCAATGCAGTTACTTGTAGTAAAATAGGTCAGACACATAATTTGGTACAACTTTGTATGCTTAATTTCAAGTATATATGCCATTATCACGTAAAATAATATTTTACCCGAATAATTTTGCTCTCTTTTTTTCTGACTTTTTTCACGTCTAGTTTGATTATGCGAAAGTTTGAAATTTTTCAAAAATGAGGTCAATACCACTGCACGAGTACTAAATGGTGCATAAGCTGCAAAAGAATTGAAATCGATATCTTCGCCAGTAACCTACTTATTGTAACTTGAATTTTGAGCTTCCCCTTACCCGAATAATATTGCTCCCTAGTGTAATTTTGAATTTTCCTACACTTTTGACCCAATGGGCTTCGGATGAACGACATACCTACATCTTTCTCCAAGCTATACGTAATTAGCTAATTATTTAACAAGCGAAGGGTAACTTTGCTTTGACCCCTGTCGACCTTCAAGTCTGTCACATGCTAGAGGTGCTAGGTGCTTTAATTAATCATAAATAATCAGTGTGTGCAAAACGGCAGCCTTTTTGCTTTTTCTGCATGCCTTTTTGCCTTTTTGCCTTTTTCAATGCCCTTTTGCCTTTTTGCGTGCCCTTTTGCCTTTTTGCGTGCCTTTTTGCCTGTTTGATGCCTTTTTGCTCGATTTTTGACGATTGAACCCGATTTATTGTCGTTTATAACGTATTAAAGAAATTGTAGAATCTGCAATATGTTTTTAAAATTGTATTGGAGGGTTCTGACATTCATCAATACTTCAAATTAGTGGAATGCTTTTCCCCAGCTATCTTCAGCGTTGTTCCTACATCGCCATCAGCTTAATTAATCAAATTTTGACACTAGGCTTATATTTGCGAAAAGTATTAAAAACGCAATGAATAACTTTCACTTTAATTTTATCACGGGACTCTCGTCTCATCTCGCCCCAAATTAGCAAAAGGGCAAAACGGCAAAAAGGCACAGATTTTTGTGGGGCAAAAAGGCAAAGAGGCAGGCAAAAAGGCACTGCCTGCCTTTTTGTTCTGCACACACTGTAAATAATTAAGTTACCTATGCTAAGCATTTTCATTACGTAATATTTGGTGTTATACACAACCATTGAAAACATTTCATCTTGTGCAAAAATATTACTTTTTCTAATTAGAATTACCAACTTATATTCAAAACGAGTTCGCATTTTTGCATGGAAACATAATTTTGAACATAACTGCGCACTAAATACTAAATATAGCTTTAGAGATGAGCAAGTTAGTAAGTTAGTAAAATAATTTTCAAATTTTTCACACTTGCGAAATTTGTTTCGCTGGCGTGAATACCCCTAAATATTTTTGTAGTCTAAGCAAAATCCAGTATTTTTGTCGTCTGATTCGTCATACTCTTGCGAACAGTGACACTTGGTGGCGTCAGTTAAGGATTTAATACAATCGTATTCGCGAAATCCCACAATTCTGGGACATTTATCGCCCGCTGCGACGGGAATGTCGAAATTGAGAAGGGCAGTTGGTCTCACGTTGCAAATGTAGGCCACGCCCGTGTAAGACTTGACTGGGACACATTCTATATAAAGGTTGCTGAGTTTGAAGTCGTTTTCTCTGCTGGGTGGAACATTGGTCACGACGACGGAATTGGACAGCTCACCGTTGTCGAAGTACACCTTGATCGCTCCGTTTTGCCCAGGGACTTAATACATAAAAATTTATGCATGTATACTGTTAGAAATCTGGTATATTCACGCAGGTATTGATATCTTGGTATTAAATTTGCTACCGTTTGGTAGTATAATTATACTGGTCCGTAAAAATTTGCTGGGTAAAACTTAAATGCCAAGCTATTACTTCACGTTATTACATATTTGAATACGGCTTGGTACTGGATATCTAAGAGTGTAAATCCATAAACCTTACCAACTTTCTTAAAGTTAAACACTGTTAGAAAGCGGAATCTGGCACGCAGGTAATAATTTTACTACCATGGAGTAACAACTTTAATACCGAGCTATTACTATAACGTACATATGTATTCCTCACCAATACCAATCGTGAATTTAGAGTCATGAATGAATAATATATAATGGTATCATTTTAACACTTTATTTCTTAGTGTGTCAAATCTTACCAGTAATTGGCAGAAACTCGCCTCCACACAATTCTAACGTGACCGGCATGGCGCCAGGGGCTGAGAAGAAGCGGATGTTATCGTAGGAACAGTCCACCACGCCGGTCTCGGGTGGATAGTTCGGATCTGCACCCGTGATGTAGAAAGGTTTCGAACTTCCCGTTCCGGAACATTCTTTCCACTACGAAAGCACGCGTTAATAATTTTTAATATGTACATATGTATGAATATACTTATTCAATTTTTAGCAGGTTTCTACACCCAGTGGCAACCGAAGCGTGGGGACGGGGACAATGCCTACGTAGTTATTTGCTGTTATGCATGTTATAAAACCCCACCTTCCCTCATCCTAATATGTTAATGTCCCCGCGCTTCCACGGCTACTGCTACCTAGTGAATTGTACTATGAACAGAAATTCAAGAAAAAAAAAATTCCAAAAATCGTTTAGTTTTTAAAGCAAGGGATGAGTTTAGGAGTATTTTGGAACCCCACATAACAAGAGGAATATTAAGCCCCTTTATGCAAATTAATATGAAAATTAAACTGACCTCTCTCCCCGTAACCGCAGGTTTTCCACGGAGGCAAATATGGTAATTTTGATTATCAAGTTGATACGGAAAACCGAAACTGCGTACTCTTCCCGTGTCTCCGGTATATTGTTGGAGACATTCGTCCGGAACTGAGCAATTTAGCCGCCGATAAAACAAATCCAAACAAGTACTTAAACAATTTTATAAAATTTTAGAATTTCTACCGATTTCTGTAGATCCACATTTTATTTGGGCCACGTTGATGGCATATTTTGCCGAGGCTGAATAAGTCTTTATAATCATCCTAATATTACGGGAAGGTAGTTCGTTCCCCATTCCGTAGGATAGGTACACTAGAAATATTTGCAAGTTTTCGAAATTGCAATATTTTTTAGAAGTACTCACGACAACGGCATATTTCGCATGACAACTAATTTAGCAAATTGGCGAAGCCCAAAAAATTTGTGCCGCAAAATATGATTTCGCAAATTTGGCAAATCTAATTAGAAAGACATTATTTTTAAGGATATCTGTAATTTATCTGGGTGTTCATGGTGAGTTTGCGAAATAAAAGTGTGCCCATGGTTTTATAGAATAAGTTTTGCTAATTTTTTTTTCAAACTTCGCAAATTATTCTCAATTTGCGAGATATGCGACGGCTGACGTGAGTACCCTTCTTATTTATGCATATGAGTTATCACTAACTGTGCTGATCAGTCAAATCTCCACAAACGATGAGTGATTCTCCCACGAAAGAAGGTGACCCAGTAATTGTAAGGACGTCTTTCATGCACTTCCCCCAACTGAGCGGATCCGTCGATGGGATTGCAAGTCTCGTCTGGAGGAAGGACACTTTCAATTGGCAAACTTCGGAATTCTGAAAAAAAAATCTAAAAACGTTAAAACGTTGGAAACCAATAATGTTTGACAAAAAATTCCACTAACTCTTGGAAAGTCGATGATACTGTTGGATCTCGCGACACCATTTGACACCAAGGTGACAGCCGATTGTGTAATCGTGGTGGCAGTTTTATCCGATGGAGACGTGGTAACGATGACTAGTAATTAATGGGAGTTAAAATTTTGCACAGAATTGGCGTAACATTGATTTACAAAATTATTCACCTCGACAACAAGATCTCATTCCATTTCCACACTTCCCAATTTCCAATCCGCTAGGAGCCCGACAATCGGATCTAATTGAAAAAAATGTGTAAATCATCATCAAAATCTGTTAAATGGTTACAAAATTTGTATATTAAAAAAATAAAAATTTTCTCATAAGAATTTTGTGTTTAATTTTGATAAATAAATTCTCTACTTAAATAGAATTAATCTGACGTTTCATCTCATTTGCATATTCGTATTGATTTTCTACTTTGTTTAACCGTTTAACATCTTACATTTACCTGCATACTCCGTATTCTTTTCCGTCAGTACTTTTACACACGGTAGGTTCAATCAGCACGTTTAGAAGTACTGAAAATACAGGGGAATGGTGCAGTAAAATTTATGATTAAAATACATAATTAATTTAAGATGTATGTAAACATTTTCAGAAATTTTCAGAAATTTTATATTTTTAATTACATTTCGGGTCTCGACTACTATTCCAGATATCTTCATAACCTCCCTCGGTGTAATTGAGTCTACCTTCAATATTCGATATTAAAAATACCACTGAAAAAACTAGGAATTTAAACATCATATTTATTTTCGAAATAAATTTAACTCGCTTAATAATATTATGATGGAGCCAGACAGCCTACCACATTCTTCATTGTCAATAGAACAACTGAATGACGACGTGATAAATTTCTATCAGAGAAGGACAACATTTATTTAGCTAATTATTCATGATTCATGCAAACTGTACCCAGTGAACCTATAATTACTTATTATTGGTTGCCTAGTTTCATTAATCAAACAGGTCAATAATAAAGAGCATCTGAAGTTATTACCATAATGAGCAACAAAATCAAGTTCACAGCTTTCCAATAGGCACAGAAGTGCTAATCAGACAGCAAGTTGAATAATTCAATAGGCAACTAAAATCGGATTTAAGGAGATGTGCAAATCCACGTGGATTATGATCTTCCTTTCCAAATTGAGCCATGTATGTATCCTAAATTTAGAACGATCTAGATTAATTTCACACTTTCCCAAATTATTGATTAGCACCTAAATGGAACTATGTCGTCTCAAATTTTGTTATCGTCAATAATGTTGATCACTTCACTTCGTGTGGCCATTGGTGAACAAGTAGCCTTTTTTTGAATCTCTAAAATTTCATGAGAAATGGATTGGAACGCTCTTTTCGCAATATTCCTACTAAACTCGATTCATTTGGGATCGTGTGCAAATTTCCCAGCGACAAGATCACGGTTTAACGGATTAAATTCATTGCAAGAATTTCTTGACGGACTTTCTCCTACAAATGGCAATGTTCCCACGCAGTGTTCGGGAACATTGGCTAGTTTGGGAAGTAATGCTGTGCAAGGTGTCTGCGTGTCGGCGTAAGTTACAGGAAAATCTTTGCAAACTTCACAATTTGTTGTACTGCCAAATTTTAGCAAATATTTATAAAAACCTCCAAATATTAGACTTTGAGCAATTATGCTAATTACAACAATTTTAGAGCATCATGCAGCAGAGCGGGTGGCAGCGTTTTGGGGACATGTGCCACGAGAGGATTAACCTGTTGCGTGGGTATGACTACATTTTTAATTAAATAAAAAATCGTCTCCAAAGATAAATTATTTTATGTATAAAATTTTCAAAATTTAGTCCCCATAACTGCATCCTCAAGCACGTTAAGGACACAAATTACAAACAAAGCCGTCCTCCTGACCCAAAGTGGGGTTGCTAATGCCGAAAATATTTTCGAATTTCCGCTGGTTTGTTAATTGAGTAATTACGAAGCACCTAATGTCATGGACTAAATTTCTACCCTTTCATTTTTTTAGCAAAATGGAATTTGTTCCTTAACCGTAAAGTTTCTCGATACACGTCTTGTCCCACCATCTTCACAATTATTGTCCGAAGGAGATTGCATCGTTGACTCGATTACGGTGCAAGATTCGCCGACATTACATGCCGGTTTTATCACAGTTTGTGGCGACATGACCGGACAACATAGTAAATTTTTAAAGTATTATTTTTTATACCTATTTATAATTAAATACAAATCATGATTTTAGTGCATCTTTCGTATCGAGCCGGTGCGCTGGGGGATCACCCGTCAGACAAGATCGTCATATCTGTAAAGACGACCGCTGCAACTGCGAAATACTCCTTGAATGTGGTCCAAGTGGGGTGTGACGATCCAGATTTGGGTTAGTACATGCACTCTTAGAAACTCAGTAAAATAATATCACTCGGCATTCATTTTTATGTGACATATCAAAGTGGAATTGATATATGCATACATACATATGTTGAAATGGCTCGGTGTTAAAGTTCTACAGGATCGGTAGCAAATTTTTGCGGCCCGGCACAATTTTAGTACCAAGCAGTAGCAACTTTAACACCGAGAAAGCTAAAATTGCATGGATATACAATATTTCTCGCAGTGTATAATTTCGTAATTATTCGTACAAAAAGTGTTGTACATGACACGAACAGAGGTGTGTCAATTGAAAGTTGACATTTATGTATATAGCTTAATTATTTTATTCTGTATTTTATTCTTGCCCAATAATTAGTCGCATCATACTGTCTACAAAAATTTGTTGCGGATGCCGGTCAAGTACGATCATTTGGATATCCACGCCAATTAAACAATCAGTATTATCACATTTGTACCCATGGACCCGAACCAGGGGCAAGGACCGTGACGGTACAATAAAAATTCAAACTTTACTACAAATGCGAATTACTTTCTCATGGAGTTAATTTATTGATAACTATCAAGTGGCAAGAATGCACGTCTTCACCCATTGGGGGATCGGCAGCACCAAAATTCTTTGTTACTGGAAGCCGTTCACCAACTGATGGATCCCTCCCACCACCGAAATTAGGGGATTATCCCTGTTTTACGGATTACCTTTACAACACGCTGCTAAACCCACCAAGCAGACATTGTGGGGGGTCCTTCCCCAAGATTACAGGTAATTAAAATTTAATTAGCAGTGCCTGGTTTAAATATTGCAATATTTCTACGTATCTTACACTGCCCTAGTTGAAACGCAAAATGCAACAAATAACCGCCACCTTGCGGCTCATCTTTTGCACTAAGTTCATTCTCTAGGTATTGTCCGGTAGATAGACTTAATTTCCTGCAACTTCAGCATTCGTGCAAGAAAATTAGTTTTTGCCTGGTATAATTTCTTACAGGAATGTAGGAATAGCAAGAAATATACAAATTCGTATGATTAAGTGTCGGGTAAAAGTTGAGGCGCTAGATCGAGGAAATTTCTTGCATCATAAAAACGAATAATTCAAATGTGGTGTAATATCAATAAAGTTTAAACGTGAAGTAAGTCTAACCATCGATCTATGTAATTTTAGTCGACGGTGGGCTGGGTCATCTGACGGTCAACTTTGACGAAAATGAATACGGTCACGCCGCCATATTGCTCGACCTCCCGCCCGGAGCGCCATCTTGTGAGCAAATGACCACAGCCGAGACCTTCCCGTCTCACAATTGTCACCGTCCTTTAATCGGAGATGCGAAGGATACAAGTTGTGTCTGTTCTATCATCGATGAACATCACTTAATAGGGGATGAGATAACAGTCACTCCGGCAGAGAACTGTCCAACTGTAACGGAATATTACTGTAACAGAACCACACCATCGCTGTGTTACTGTTACCAACAATATGACGATATTAATCAAGAAAATACTGGGTTTTGCTTACAATTTACGCATAATTATTAAGATAAATCATTGATGAAAAGCCGGAAAATTCTATACAATGATTTATTTATTTAATTATGCCATACGCATGAGCATAAGTATATAATAACGTTAATATTTATTTTATAAAGTTAGTGAAATAAATGTATCAATATTTATGATTGGTATAGAAATTTAATGGATAAAACAATTACAAGCTCAACGCTATGTAGGTATAAGTACATAATGTCCGCATCCATATTTATTTCGTGAATACCTACGCATGTTGTGTCGTATATCTGCATCATGCACAATATGCATTACGCATACATGCAAGCTTTTATGCGAAGACAATGTATATATGGGATGCTTCTATTCTGCTAATAGTACTGTGCTGAACTGTGGGGAAAGTAATAATCCTCCACCACCAGAACATGTGGGAATGGAGAATCTGTATTTTCATTCGTATACTTTTTTAGGTAGTGAGCTTTCTAAACAAAATACAATTATTTCCTATAGTTTAACCATGTCATACGCGTAATTTTGTGTTAAATAAAATTATGTGTATGTTCAATTAGCAGTTGGAAGTCATTACATACACATTACACAACACCACTGCCAGTTTATCATTAAAAATAAAATCATCCTTAATTAAAATCCAGCACACAGTAATATTATTATTTCAATGGATTTCTAAAGGCAAACTATTTAACAGGAATCACTTGGTGAGTATTTAGAAATTTTTGGCTAATTATTCAGTTATCATTGACCTCCTACTAATTTGTAATTAATGATTTTAATCTAGGTGGAATTGGTACCAATCCAAATAATTTTATCGTCTCATATTTAACTGATCGTGATTTCAGAAGTTTGCTATATTGCAATCGATCCGTAATCCTGAATTACTAATAATTATTATAAATTTAGTACATGTTGGTGATAAATTTATGCAAACTTTTAATGCTCTTACAGCAAAGAGAATGTCGACACCGACAAATATGGCAGAAATTGAACCAGCCGAACTTATTCGCTGTTGCGTGATGAACAATCCATACGTAATAATAATTTTAAAAACTGAGAAGCATATTTATGTAAATATATTGATATACACAACCAACATGATACATTTTAGATGTTATCCAAGATTTTAACCTACTTGGACATAAAATCACTCAAGACAAGTCGTCTCGTTAATAAATTTTGGGAAGAAGAAGCAACTCCGCAACTAAAGACCCGAGCTGTTACAATAATTGACTTTTGGAATGATGATTTAGTTGATATGCCATTCCCATACACACCGCGTCGCGTATCAGATTATCTCGATTTTCCCTTTGTTTGTCAAAATATTCACGTAATTCACAACATTACTTCAAAGGATCCTCAACTAGCACCGTTTGTCAAAAGATTTGGCCATCAAATCAAAAAATTAGTCATCGACTCAGCCAAGTATTTAAACATTTGGCTTCAACATTCGCCAAACTTGACATTCGTAAAAGTTCAGAAAGCAGGACGAGGCCGACAATTTCCCAAGAATGGTTCTCCATACCTCCAAATCCAACATTTAGTTTTCAGATTGAGCTACGCACAATATTCTAATTTTACCCCAGAAGCGATGATCACTGCGGCCGGATTAATTGAATATTTTCGAAATTTATCATCCTTATGCATTCATGAAGATGACTGGATGTGTGAAGGTAAATTGATTGAGGAAACGCTAAAAGCTGTTGCTTTAAATCCAACCTGGTCGCCAAATCTCCAACACCTAGATATTCGCTCGAGAAAGAACAGCTGCACCAAAATCCAATTATTCATAAATTTGACAAAAAGAAGGTGGACAACTTTGCGGATGGGCCGTGTCCTTTTAGAAGAAGCAAATGACATCAAAGAATTCCACGATTTGCTCAATTATCATAGTGCTACTTTAACACAACTTGAATTTCAGTTGGCGGCATCAGGATTCTCTACTGATACTGACGAAACAATTTTACCATTCCCAATTTTACCAAAGTTAAGAAGCCTGGACATGCAATTCTGTACTGGAGCTCCAAAGATTAAACCATTCCAGTATTCAGACCTATTTCCGGTGCTGCAGCATGTTGGTTATACGCACAAGGAAGTATTCTGCCGCCCTACCTTGTGGCAAACACTATTTCCCGTGACCGGTCAGGTTTGTCGAACTGTAAAGACTTTACACATCGAACTCGATGGTGTTGAACTTGATGAAGTGCTGCCTAACTTATCTAATCTATTTCCAAATTCTTGCCATATTGAAAAGACAAAAGAGCGCCTATAAAAATGAATGTGCTTGCAATAATTTGAATACAATAAACGATTTGAAATATTAATCAACTAACATTAACAAAATAAGCGATCAATATTTCACACATGTGCTGTATAAAGTATGTATATGTACGAATATTTGCGCAATTTAATGGTGATAAATATATATAATTAAATATGATAAATGCGTTTACAAAATGTATATGTAGTTACTAAAATTTCAGGATTCATAAGCTTTATTGTATAAGTTGATTCAATAAAATCTATATGCAAACCTATACGAATGAAGTACTTACTACTTTGGCAAATGCATCTGTCCTTTGTGTACGGGCATACAGTGTACCAACAAAGTTTCTGCACTTTAGCTTTCACTCTTTGTTTGTGCATTTTACCTATGTACACAATATTTTTAGGATGCACTAGTTCCTAAGCTAAGGAAATGAAACAAAATCCGTTCCATATTTAAACCAGTGGAATTGCTGAAAAATTAATAGTTATTGATAATAGGAACCATAATGAGCATACACTGCTTACGGGCGCAAGTAATTAAATATATCAAGGGATATAATTAAAAGGTTATATATAGATATACGTAAGTAAATAATGTAATGGTTGTTTAAAAAAATTAAGTAAATAAACCTAGCAATCCCCATATAATCCAGTTAAGGGCTATTTAAACAAAGGTCATTTAATTATAATTTAAGGGTGAACCACTAAGTAACCAAAACCGTGAACTAAGTTTTTAGCTTCTGCAGGATTGACCACCTTTTGGACCAATACTGGCATTTGATAAAAACTAACAAAATTAGAAAATATTGGGAAATACATGAAAGAAAATATTTTAAGAAAATATTTTAGGACAATTTTCAAGTAATAGGTAAGTATTTTTCCGATTCAACTTAATTATTATGGTTAGCTAAATAAGTGTATATCCAGATCCACGAAGCGGTTAAGATCCTTTGCTTGCACATTGTACGCTATACAAGGAAATTGAACATTGGATTCATGCATTTCATTCTCAACACGCAGCTGACTGATTTGATCATAAATAAAATTATTCGTAATTTCTAACCGTATTAATAAAATCAATAGAACTCCGTTGTCAATTCTTCCGTACATATAAGAAGTCTATTTTATGAACGGAAAGGTATGTCGCAATGTAAGATTTACATGTGCATAACAATACGACAGCTTGTTGATTTCACTCAAGAATTTCAGTGTTTAATTAACCACATATTTTTAGCAAGACACACAACTCATTAATTCGTAAATTTGTTATTTTAGCAGGATAAATTCATTTGAAGTGGAATGTATTTCACCTGCGAAATTCACAATCTACAATTTTCTAACCTACAAGAAGTCAAGGAACATGACACGATTTTACACAAAGGTGACGACCCGTAACATAAGTACAATTTTTGTCTCATTTTTTTTTTAAATAACTACTAAATTCATGCAGATGACGACACTGTTATCAAACTTGAATCCACATTTCTCTACGGCACGTCCGACGATGGAAAAATTGCTCAGCAAGAAGAGGCTACAAATATCGACCTGTTTACATGTCACATTTGTGCGGAAACTTTCCCCACTCAGGAAACGGTATTGACCCACTTGATCTCACACCTTCCCCCCGACCACGACCGCACCAATATCTCCACATTCGTAATAAAGAAGGAACCAAATTTCGAGGCGGAAACTTCCGACCTCAATGATTCCGAGTCATCAAACTCCGTACCCACTCTGCCTCCCCCTCCCAAAAAGCCAAAGAAGCCAGCAAGACCCAAGAAAACGAAGAAATCACGAAGGCGAACACACTACAAAGCCATAAATTCCCCCCACCGACCCGCCACGTACAACCAACTCTTACCCGAGGGGCGAATCTCCTGCTACTTTTGCGGATTTGCCCCTTATTCTGGCCAACTCGTCCGCTTCGACCACCACATGTACAAGCACACGTTGGAGGTTCCATACCGCTGTGATACTTGTGGGCGCAGCTTATCCAGCCCTGAAGCACTTGAGAAACACAAAAAGCGTCACCAGGTTGGACGTGAAATTCGAAAATTTATCTGTCGCCAGTGCAAAAGCTCATTCCGCACGAAGGACACGCTCCGCAGTCACGTGGCGACGCATACCACCCATGCAGACGTGCAGTGTCCCCAGTGCGACAAGAAATTCAAAGATGAACGAAGAATGGTGCGGCATATCAGAGCTGCTCATACGGCTCGGGCTCTGATCAAGTGTGTCGTTTCAAGCTGTAACGAACAGTTTAAAAGACGGGACAAATATAAGAGGCACTTGAAGAAGTTCCATGAGGGGGTAGAGGTCCTTGAGGAAGGGAAAAGTCACTCTTGTCCGTTTTGTGACGAGGTCTTCAAATTCCAGTGGCAATTTGAGCGTCATGCAGTGCAAAGTCATCCCCACGATGTGACCCAGCTCTTCACCTGTGAGCCTTGTGATGCCGTTTTGGCTAATTTTCATCAATTTAGGAAACACTGTAAAGCACTTGGACATTTAAAGAAAGCGACAAAGACTGAGAAAAAAGGAAAGAAAAGATTGCGAAAATGATCTATAGAATATTTTCTTTAATCCAGTGTTTATGAGATCTGTTTATTTACATAAATATAATAGAAATTTGTATTCAAATAAGCTTGCCAGATTGTTTAATAATGTGGGATTAAAATATTTAAATCAATATTATATGTAAAATTTGAAACCTGTACTTCTTCCAAATCTGAGCAAAACTTAATTTCTGAACGCAAATTAAACAGACGAGAAAACGGGGGTTTTCGTATGTACAACTCTGATACATATCTTATTACATCTATTAAAAATGTCATTAAATTCTTCACCTCCCAAGCGCACAATTTTATTGTCCCCACGCTTCCGCAGTTTATAAGAAGTGACTTATTCATGTCCAAAATTAATTTCTTAATGCAAATCCTATAAAATAATTTTTAGAAACTTGCTACCATATTTAGTTACATATTTACGACAACTAATAGGCATAAATAGCTACTTACATAACTTATAAAATGATTTTATACATATGTACATATTTGTTCAGTTTCCTATTTGCATGTTCATACATTACTTGTAAAGCTAGAGACTGTCGCCCAAAGATTTGCATAAACACATATTTACGTACTTGGAAATATATTCCAACCATTAAAGGGTTTCTTATGGGGACTCTTTAAAAATATCGCATATACGAATATACACTCTTAATAATCCAGTAAAGTCACGTAGATAATGATTCCTCGGTAATAAATTTGGTAATAATATTTTACCAGATATGTAGTAAAAATTCGTTCCCATAATGGTAAGACTTTTTTACCAAGTCATTATCACGCGGTACAACTGATCTTTACCACTTTGGTAGGGTCATATGCTTCTGCTTTTCGGTAATGTTTATTACCAGATTATTTACAATGTATATAAGTACTACATACATATGCACATACATACATATTTTAATTCAGTCAAAGTATGTATTTCCGTCCACCACTGCCTTTCTTGACTCGGTTGCCGTTAAGTATAATTTTTCAACACCAGTCTTAATCCGACCAGTGTACCCGAAATGTTACGATTTAACCTTCGTGGAAAAAAGTTGTACTTCAACAAAGGACATTATCCTAATTTTGTGAGAAATATGAACCCTTCAATTTTCTCATGCCTCGCATATCTCTTCTGAATATTTGTGGTAACCATACAATCTTAAAAATAATTGTGCCCTTTTACAAATTAAATGCACTCATAAAGTAAACCATTCCAAATATGTACATATATTTAACTGGCAAAGAGTAAAAGTTTGCCCTGGATTTAGTATTCATAGTTTATTTAATACGGAATTAATTTAAAATGCATTTACTTCTCGAAAGGGTACCCATGATTTTTAAGAATGCGTTACACACCAAACTTACATACATAAATATGCACGTATTTACATATGTATCACATTCTTTATACATTAGCTATGTAAATGCCACCTTACATATGTATGTACGTAGGTATGCAACTTCACAACGCATCCTTTTCTTGGTCCAACTTTCTGGCATATGTATGTACAATAACTATGTATATACACTGGAGAGCAAATGTGAACGCCCAAAACCACAAGCACAATTCGGATCATAGTTTCTCAATAAGTACGGGGAATTTTTGAAAGGTTGTTATCTCATTTTGAAGACAACTTAGTACACAAACCTTCACCAAAGTAAATTTGCTGTAAGATTATTTTTCACTCCGTACGGAACTTCGGCGTCAAATTAAGAAATGAGCATTGGTGCAAAAGTCATCGCCACAAACAATTAAAATAACAGCAGTTTTAAAATTACGAAAGTAGGATAACATCCTTTTTAATTTCTAAGTACACCTACTATTGAGGTATATACAAAATAATTCCTCTCCAAATAAGAAAATGTATGCGAGGAGAAAATGTGCAATAATGAAACAACAATCGTTATTCGGGATCTGGTCATTCAGCATTACGAAAATAGGGGGAAGACGCAAGAAGAATTAGCTCATTTGGTCAAAAAATCTCGTCAACTGTCCGTGACATCATTTCACGTTACAAATTAACGGGATCTATCGAAAACAGACAACGAGGAGGACGTCCACCAAGTTTCATCACGCGCGAGTAGAAAATATTTGCTCGAAAAGTGACCATAAATCTAAAACCTTCGTCTCCCAAGATTTCTGGTGAAATAGAAAATGATGTTGGAAAAGTATTTAGTGGTTGGGCAAGCTGGAGAGTATTGAAAAACAGTGCTCAAAAAAATTATGGAGCCAGGAGGAAGCCTACATATCAAAAACGCACTAGAAGAAAATGTTAGATTTTGCAAGGCAACACACAAATAACGATTAAAAATTTTGGGAATCACTCTAATGGCTGCTAAGGGTAAACTTAATGTTTTAGGGTCGGATGGAAGGGTTCGAGTATGGAGAAAAGTCGGAGAATCTGACAAATTAAAAAATCACAACGACACCTTGAATGATGGCGGAGGATGCGGCATGATATGGGAGTGTTCAGCTCCGCTGGGGACGGTACGCACGAATTCATCAATTCACCAAGCACCAAATTATGTACCAAGACCTACTAAAGAGAAATGGTTAACAATTAGCAGCAAAACTAGACCTTGGATGGCGCTACACCTGTTAGTAGCACCGCGACCCTAAACGCACGGCCAAGTCCACCTATAAATTCTTTTGACCAATAAGATTAATGTTCTCGAATGGCCTCCACAAGGACTAGATCTCAGTCCTACTGAACATAGGTGCATAGGAACATATATTTAGAGATCCGAGAACGCTAAATTTCAAGCAAAGCTGACGTGAAATCAAAAATCTAAGCCTTGTTGAGTGACGTCAAACCTGGTGTCACTAAGACATTGGTTGCGTCCATGCAACGTCGCTGATAGGCTGTCATATTTTCTAATGGACGTCCAACAACATATTAATTGTTAATGGTTTACTTTAAAATTGAAAATTGCAGAAATATTAAATGTTTTATTCATTTTGGCGATCACTTTTGCACCGGCTGTTTTTACTTTTTATCAAATCTACTCACTTGTGATGAAAACTATAAACGTTTATGTAGACTATTTGATACAAATTTGTTGAATATTAAATTGTCTACAAAACGCAAAAAAAACTTCTGGAAAATTTCTTATTTTAAAAAAGTTACAAGCAATCTAACGGCAAGCTTTCTCTTGGGCGATGACATCTGCTCTCCAGTGTATGTACCTAGCTAGATACATAGCATAACTAACTAACCAGCATAAATAAATATGTACATATTTAACAGAACCCTTCTCTATAAAAACAGCAGCACAACCTGGCCCGTTTGTCACTCTCTGTTCCTTCGTTCTCTTAAAACGAACTTCAATCTACTTACATACTAACATTGTTAGTCTAACAAATAATAAATAATGCAGCGTACCAAGCAAATGGCTTGTAAATCTACTGGAGGGGTTCCTAGAAATTTGGTTTTCCCATGCGTGCATAATTCCGGGTGGAACAAGGCCAACGACGCCAGGGTGGGGTTGTCGACGGATTTAAGCATTCTGCTAAAATCAGGGACGTACGCTGATGTCACGTTGAGAGCGAGCGATGGCGAGACCTTCCCGGCGCATAAGGCCATCTTGTCAGGTACGTAGGGAAATTTAATTTCTATCTTCACTCTTAGAAATCTGGTATTGTTACGCGGTATTGATTTCCCGGGTGTTAAAGTTGCAACCGCTTGGTATTAAAATTATATGCACCCGTCGGTAAAAATGTGCTAGCGATGTGGTAAAACTTTAATACCAAGCCATTATTGCACGGTATTACTTATCCCTATTACTTTGCCAGAGTTTTATGTGAATATCGTTTGGTATTATTTTAATACTGAATTTCTAAACTGCTTGTCTTTTCTTTTAGAATAATTTTTAATTTATTTTCAAAGTACTTATTTAATGTGGATATTTCATTCTATCCGCTTGGAAAATAATTTTTTAAGACCCATAAATATATGAATTCGATATTACATAAGTATAGTGGTCCGAAGTAGTGTAATACTACATTTTTATGCCCTAATTTATGTATTATTTTGTTTTTAATACAGCGCGAAGTCCCTTCTTCTGGGCAATGTTTGAATCCCAGGTGTCCGATGGTGTGACTCGCCACGTGATTATTGGCGACATGAGTGGGCCGGCGTTAGGAATTTTGCTCAACTTTGTGTACACCGCGGAATTCGATTCGACAGGGAGAAAAGATGGCCTTGTTTGGCAGGACGTTTATGCCGAGGTGCTAAGTGCCGCTGCAAAGGTGAGTTTTTTAACCGTGTTAAAGGGAAATTAAACTCAATTATCTGGGACAAAATATCAATGAGGGCTCATTTCTACCATTTAGGGGACAACATCCATCATTTTAAGGGGTTGTTGATTTAATCCCCTTAATTTTGCTGCATTTCAGTACAAGCTTCCGATATTGAAGGACCAGTGCGACCAGCATCTCGTGAAGGTTTGCAACGCGGACAATTCTCTTGCCCTCCTTTGCCTCGCCAAGCAACATAAACTCGTCCACGCGGAGGAGGAGGTCAAAGATTGGATCGCGGACAATCTGGACGACGTCCTTGATGCAGACCTCTGAGGGGAAGGGAACCAAATTTATTTTACTACATTATTATTTGTAATATTATTATTTTTTAAATAACGTTTCATTCATAAGTTGTGAGCGGATGGTATTTTCTTCGCCTTATTCACCATGTCATTTTTTTCTACAATACTATAGCCAATACTATTCTTAAGTTTGAAATTAGTGAGGTTTGGACCTTAAACCTAAAATACAAGAGTTTTCAAGAGCTACCGGCAACCTTATGTCTGTATGTAATTTTGAATTATGCGCTGGTAGTTTAGTTTTTGTAGACAAAAAATGTAATGCTACATATTTACTTTGCGAATACAATATCAGCATTGTTTTAGAGGAAGGGACAAATTTGTCGGTACAAATAAGTGTAAATAGCTAAATAAAGTACGAGAAATTCGGTAGTCATATTTTTACTTACACACATAATTACACACTCAGGATTCAGCCTCAGTAATGCAATTGTAGCGATTTATTATAGATTTGTTTTAATTTGTATTAATTGTTAAACTACTTAAATTTCCCGTTACCACGTGAAACGAATGCCCAAGTTGGTAATGAGTTACATATGACTACATATTTATGTAGTCCAATTACAGGTAAATTACTCAAATTTTTATTAACTCAGACACATATGTATATGCGCATATATACGTTCATTTGCTTTCATATAAGCTTAATTTTGGTCCAATCTTGTATTTACTTCATAAGTTTTAATTCATGGAGTGATGGAATGCGCCTTTAAACGTTTATCTCGATTAGTTCACAAGTTCCTCAGCAGTGCTTACTAGTAGGGTTGCCGCGGGTAGCGAAAATGCTACCCGTTACCCGACCCGTTACCCGCAGCACAACTACCCGTACCCGCACGGGTACCCGTGAAGGTACCCGTTACCCGCTACCCGTTATGAGAACTAAGTTAAAACTAACAAACCTTCAGAATAAATTTGATTTAATCAATTATTTGCTCATTTTCGTTGTTCAGTAGTTGGATATAATACTGTGCAGGTACCGAATGTCATAGTTTGCTAGATGTTTCTGAAACCAAACTTTTTTGGCTTACAATGGAACCTTTTTCAAGCCTATACCGTGATTACTTAGCGAATTATATAGAAAAATCAAGCCAAAAATTAGGAATTATCACTTATTTTTCTGTTGGATAGCCCGTTAAAAGAAAACTATTTGGGGGCAGAGTTCAAAGTCCACCATGGTTAACGTCAGTGAAGGAAAAAGATGCAAAACATGTACTTAAAAATTGGACTTTGACGTTAATATTTTTTCTTCAAAGTGGACGTTCAACGGAAAGTATCCCGCGATTCATAATTTATGGCCTGATGTTTTGATATACTCACGAGACAATCCTTGTGTAATTTGAAAATAGAGTCCATTTTTAGTCGGATTTTAAAAATTTATATTTTAAATCAAGGCATTATTTACGAAATTGCCTACAAATAAAATTTTTGCTTTCAATCGATTCAGGTTTTTCACCTTCAAAGTACAAATTAAAATCTCGTCAGTTTTACATAAAGACACACAAGTACAAGTCAAGTTATTACTGATGTTTCAGAGCAGGCAAGTTATTCTTGAGAAACAATAATTTCTCCGCATTTTCGGGGAATAAAAAGCATTTGAGGCTGTGGTAGGCTTCTGTTGCTTCTGAAAACACACGCTCGCTATCACCGCTATTTGCTGGCAAATGGTAAATGCCAAATTTTAAAATCAATAAATAATAAATTGATGCTTTTGTTCGTAAATGGACTAACTTTCTTTGTGAGCTGTTTTACGTCGAAAATTAAATAAAAACTGAACTACCCGTTACCCGTGCGGGTAGTTCTCGCTACCCGCAGATAACGGGTACCCGCAAGAATCGTGCGGGTATGCGGGTAACGGGTACCCGACCCGTTACCCGCGGCAACCCTACTTACTAGTTAGTTACTTACACCCGGTAGACAAAAGTATTGGTTGTTTTTTATGTGACATCTTCATATGCATGTAAAACCTTTATATGTTACTGACATTGGTCAAATTTTTTCTGGATGGCACATAACTTCATTACCTTCAAAATAGGGTATTTGAACATTTTAACATTCAAGTATTTTTGACACAATTAATTACAAACCATGTAATGGAAAACGTGTAATGGAGTCGGTCATAAGTATTGGTCATTTCAATTTTCACTGTTATAACTTGAAGATAAACTTACATATCCGACATGCAAACTAATTTTTTGATTCAATACTTCTTTGCTGTTAGATTTAATACAAAAATTCACAAAAAATTATGAAACTGCTGGAATTGGATATTGTCAAACGTGAATAGAAACGAGGTGTCTACACAGAGGTTGAAGTGCTCACGGATTTTTACAAAAACTTCCATCTGAAAATAAAATACTGTAAATGTGACCAAAACAGGACCAGAAACAGGTTCGGTCGCTAATAAACCATAGTCTGGACATATGAACGTAACAAAACCACGCTAGAATACGAATATTGTGATTATTTCTGCAGTTGGTTATGAAATCACTGCCCCGAATCGGATTAAAAACGTAAATACTGCCTGATGCTAATTTGAAGTTTAGACGACTGCCACAAAATAAGTTAAGTACCAGGAAAGCAAATATCAATAATTTGAGATGGACAAATTAAAACCATACCTGAATAATTAAGTGTTGCTTTAAGGTACGTTACCTAGATGAAGTTAAATTTCGCATTTTCAGGAACAATGGGTCCAGGTTGACTAGGTGACGGCCAGGAAATTAAGCAAAAAATTAATTCCTACATACCACAGTGAAAAATCAACAAGACGATGAATTTGCTAAGCTTGTTTTTGTTTATCATTACTAATACCCATTCCTAACCCTTGATGTCCCCATATGATTTAGAGTTTTATGACCTAAATTTGTGTAGATGGTCCCGCCCAACTTATCTAAAGCAAAAAACACGAAGTCCACATCCATTTTCGTACAAAAAATTTAAACCAATCACTACAAGATAGTCATTTTTGAATTTATTTACGCTACTGTGAAAGGATTACTCAAGTATATCGCCCAGGTTGCATAGTAATGCATTCAAACCTTCAGGCATATATGTTATAGAACATTTAATATGGTCCCCCTGCAGATTTAAAAATTAGCGAGCCATTACAACAAAATTCTTTGACAAAAACACACTACTGTACATAATGGTAGTGAGTTGGCGAATTTTTCGAGCAAAAGTGACAGTCAACATAAGTTAATTTAATTTCTAATATTGGGAATGCTTGGCCATCAAATATAACAAAAGTAACTGCTGCCATAAATTTCCACTTTGAATATTAATTATGAACTTTGAGAGTGACCAATACTTATGACCGACTCCATCACACGTTTTCTAATGGTTTGTAATTAATTGTGTCAAAAATACTTGAATGTTAAAATGTTGAAATACCCTATTTTGAAGGTAATGAAGTTATGTGCCATCGAGAAAAAATTTGACCAAATTCAGTAACATATGAAGGTTTTACATGCATATGAAGATGTCACATAAAAAACAACCAATACTTTTGTCTACCGGGTGTACATACATATACTTACAATGCGATGGTGTGTAGTGTATCCCTCCGATTTGGCTGAAATTTTGAATTTTGGTCCATGTCAATACAACCAACGTTTCTTCAGGCAGTTTGTGCGATAGTCAGAATTTGGCAAAATATTTGAGGTCAAAGTTGAAACACGTGGAATTTTTAGCACGGAAAGAGAATGGAAGTTGAGTTTGCTTCCTCCGCCTGGTAAAAATCACCCATTTTTCTACTTTGGCCTCAAATATTTTAGCAAATTCTGACCATCGCACAAACGGCCTCCTGAAGAAACGTTGGTTGTATTGACATGGACCACATAATTTCAAAATTTCTGCCAAATCGGAGGGTTACAACTCACACCATCGCATTGTTAGTCAGATTAAGAAAAACAACATTTAAAAAACAGCATTCTTCGGTGAGGGTGCGACTAAAAACTTTAAAACAAGAGCATTGAGCAAATTTTAAAATTTAATATTACCAAATTTTGCCTCACCGTTGGCATTCAGTTAAATACGAAATCGGTTTGGGCCCACGGTGAGGCAAAATTTGGTAATATTAAATTTTAAAATTTGCTCAATGCTCTTGTTTTAAAGTTTTTAGTCGCACCCTCACCGAATGCTGTTTTTTAAATGTTGTTTTATTTTCTGGTTTTTGGGTGGGAATTTTTTATTCGTTACCAATAGCACCCAGCTAGTTAAGGTGCAATTATCATACGCGTTTAAGCAGCGTAAACGGCTGCAGATACCTCCATCAAAAGTTTCTCATTTTTCAACCGATTTTGCTCGAACGTATCTTAAATGATGCGTAATCAGTGCCCGGACACTAAAATCAGCTACTGGCATGATCATTGTATGGTGAAATTGAATTTCCGGTTCATTTTAAAGTTTCAAAGGTCCTAAAATTCTTACAATATTAGACTTTCATAACGAGAAAGATGAAAAGACACTAGATTTGGTAATTGTCTGATTTTTTTGTTTCAACAATTTTTCACTGAATTCAACCGTTCGAGCTGTGGCCGTGGCGGAAGTTTTAGGACCCTGTCTTGAAAGCATACCTTGGCTTCGCCGTAACCATGCGCTTTTCTGTCGTGAGGGTAGCCCTTGGTTACTTTCCTCACCTCAGAAAAATGTACATACATACATATGTATGTAGGTACACAAGTTTCACTAATTACGAGTAAATGATTTCCCGATGTGGAATTGACATTTAAATATTTTGTACAAATTAGTATCATTGGAATATGGGAGGAATAAGTATGTTGTGGATATTTACCCCCCCCCCCAAACAAGCGATGAACAGCCTCTCCATATACATAAATACATATTAATATTTCATAGTTTACCCCTTAATTTGCAAATAACGAGGAGGTGAAACAGTTTATAGAAGCAAAGATATTGCTAAGATAATCCAGTTTATTATTGATGGATAAAATGAGACTTGCGAGCCACAAATTAACTAAAGTTTTGTTGTTGTAACCTTGCCCGTCCCATTACCTTAATAACTTTCAGAACTAATAAAATATAGCTTGAAAAAGTAAAAAGTTCTAAGGTGAGGAGGTGTACTTAAAAGTACTAAACAAGCTCCCTCCGCCACCCAAATAATTTTACTTGGCTGTCCTCTGCATGCAAAAATCTGTTGTAAATAATGTGGGCTAAATATATTGGCTGGCTTAGGCAAATGAGCAAAAATGTAGTGCAACCGTCCGGGCTCGAAACCGGAATCTCTTCTGTATCGCGCAGAGCGACCTACCTTTGGTCCACGATCACACTGGGTGATTGTTATTGCCTTTTAGCCTGCCGATATATCCCACCTTATGATAAATAATCTCTCACAATAAAAATAGGTTGCAAAAGTCCCTCAAAGAGTCATCCAACAAA